TCAAACATTTGTTTTATGCTTCTATACCTTTATTGTAACTCATATATGTTTATTGTGTATTTCAGGGCTCCACGTACACTCCATCAAACGGAGAGTGCTGTGGGAAGTGCACACCGAGCAGCTGTGTGGAGTCAGCGGGGGACATGCGAGGGGACAATCTGTTGAGGCAAAACCTCAGACATGTATGTGTGCAGAGAAATCATACACGCCTGAACAATATAGGAAACCAATTCATTTTAATGTTTGTTTTTTGTGTAATTGTCAATGCACGCTTTGTAGGGTGTTAGGTGTAGAATTTCATTTACAGCTGACTGTTTGGATGTTTTAAAGAGGAGCTGTATGTAGTACCTATCCATAGTCAATGTAATACACAAAGTAGATGGGCATCTGCATGATCCGAGTTTTGAAAAAAAAGACACCTTTACAAGATCCAAACATTCTCTTTAAGAAGCATTTAAATAAATAGGGGAATATATGTCTTGCTCTATGTACAGATACATTTGACACTTCTGCATTTTCTTTCTCTCTTATATTCACTTTTATCAAATATCTGTCTCTGTTTATAGGTGGGAGAGGTATGGCAGTCTCCACATGAAAAATGTGTGTTACATCAGTGTGTGAAAGTAAAAGACGAGGTGTTCATCTCTGCAACAAACGCCAGCTGCTCTGCTATGGACACTCCTTCCTGCCCGCTGGGAACAGAGTTACGCTGCAACACCGAAGATTGCTGCCCCCGCTGCCATTGCGGTAAACTCACATTCATAAACATAAGTTAAAAAAGGACTCAAACACACCATTTGGTAAAGCAGGGTGGCATTATGAGTTAGGAGACTGACCTTCCACTAGCATGCATTATTTCATTTTCCTGAATCATCATGCTGTCACTCATACACTTTACTGAGGTGCAGATGCAGGCTCTGTCCAGCAGGTGACTCTCTCACACCGGTGTCATCCCAGAGCCTGTTACCATTACCTGTGCTTAATATAAATGGCAAATGTATTTATTTGTGCTTTTCTCTTTACAGCTGCAATGAATGCTTGTGTCCTGAACAACACTGTGATAGGAGTAAGTCATGTGCACAAGAAAAGCACTCTTTTTCATATAAGAGCCTTTAAAATAGTTCCTTCACTTCACTTCCATGTGTGTGTGTGTGTGTGTTTGTGCAGGCAGGAGAGAAGCTGATGATGGACGTGTGTACACAATGTGAGTGTACGGTGGAGGATGGTGCCGTGAGGAAATACCGGCTGTCCTGCAGGAGTATGAGTTGTCCCACTTGCCCCATGGTAACCAACACCCCGTCATTATTTTGTATTATCACCATTACCCTTTGTCATCATAATTATTTTCATGACTAACCATTCAAATCAAACTTCCATCATTTCCATCAAAGATCCTTTAAGACACTGACCACATTCCCTCTCTACTCATCAACACCTTTTAAACTCATATTTTTCTATGATTTACTCCATTCACAGAGGTAAGTAGAGAACTGTTTATTTGAAAAAAAATGGCCGTAAAAAAATGCCTATATAAAGACCATATTAATCCAATTGTTTTCAGGGATACACTCTTCAAAAGGAGGAACACGCTTGCTGTGGTCGATGTGTTCCCACTGCCTGCTTCATGCAAGGGCCGGATGGAAATCTGATCAGTCTGCAGGTAGGTGCTCAGCAGCAAAGGACATGCCTGGATCATTAACTGAAACTTAAACAAATTTAATTCAAATAATAATATTGATGTTGAAAGCAGCAGAAATAACACATTGTAAAATCGAATGTTTTGGACGAATCAGTACTGATTCTGCAACAAGGCTGTAAAATAATAAATGTTGTATACTATATCATACAACTGCATACTGCAATACACTATACTATGTTATACCATACTAACTAGCGCTAGACTGCACTATGTTATATTAAACCACAATTAACTACACTTTCTTTAATCAATAGAGTAGTGCCACTAAAATAAGATATGATATAGTAAAAGTTGGTTTGGCATCAGATTAGTGATATTTTGTCTCCAGCTGTTTGCTTTGGTACATTTCAAATGGCGAGAATTGCTTTTCAGCAGCATGCATAAAAACTGTATTTGTATGTGTGTGCATGTCTCTCTTCAGGTGAACACCACTAGCGAGGACGGTTGCAACCTGTATAGCTGTGGTGTGAACAGTAAAGGGGATCTTGTCCTGCAAACCAAAATTACCACCTGCCCTCCTTTCAACCGCCAGACATGCCTCGACCAGGGGGTACGATGCTACACAAACTGCCCATACACTGACATCTACCCTTACTTTTCTGTTAAATGTTTCTCTCCTGTGTGATTTCAGGGGAAAGTCAGTCAGATTGGAACAACGTGCTGTGAAATGTGTAAGTAGAACTGTGACCTTTGCAAGATTGGTACAGTGTTTAAAAAAAACGTGAACGCTGTGATTTTAATAAGAGTGTGTGCATATGTGAAGGTACGGAGCCAGAGTGCCGTAGGACAGCAGGAACGCTAAACTACATCAAGGTGGATGACTGCCAGTCAGAGCACCAAATAGAATTGCATTACTGTGAGGTAAGAAACTACACACACACACACACACACACACACACACACACACACACACACACACACACACACACACACACACACACACACACACACACACACACACACACACACACACACACACATACAGGGTGATTATTACTTCCCATCCCCTAGGATTAGCCTGCAGAGTTCAATGAAATCGTTCTTTAACACTGTCCCTCTCTCACCCTGTGTTGCTGTCCATCTGTCTCTGTCTGTCCATCTGTCTGTCCGTCCGTCCATCAGGGCAAATGTCGCAGTAAGTCCATGTACTCCCTGGAGAGCGCTGCAGTGGAGCAGGAGTGTGTGTGCTGTGCTGCTGTGGAGACGGAGCCTCTCGATGTTCCCCTGCTCTGTGCCAATGGCACCCGCAGCCACCAGACTGTCCTGTCTGTCACTGTGTGTGACTGTCTGTCCAAACACTGCACCTAGAGAGGAAGGAGAGGAGGGATAAGTGAGTTATAAGGTTATAAATGTAAACGGATTGTGTATATCCACATCAAATGTACCCACATACATAAGAGCAACAATAACAATAAAACAAACTTGCCAATTTCCATGAGCCCTTTTTGTCTGTGTTTGTTGATATCTACACACTGGAGATTGATATCTGTTTACATGTTTGAATAATTCAAAAATGATATAGATTCTTATAAAGATATAATGCTTTTTCATACCTAGATCTTGCAATTTCAAATGATCATAATTGAATTTCCTGTGGTTTTGACTGCTACTTAACAATGTTAAGATAAATACATAATGTTTAGCATTTATAATTCCAATATCAATCAATCATTCAATAAAATAATGAATCTTTGCAGCCCTTTGTGAGCAAATAACTTATTTTTGAGGCGTGCCTGTAGAGCAGAGCTTCTCAAACTCCGGACCAAGGTCCGGATCCGGACCGAACTTCAAATCAATCCGGACCGAACCCTGTGTCCTATTATAAAAAAATAAAATATATATATATTATTCAAAAAAAGACAATTCTGATTCTGATGTAAATTAAAGTGGACCTATTAGGCTATATTGGAAAAAATATATTGTAGGGTCTTAACTATACAAAACATGTCTGTGAAGTTTTTTGCTTAAAACACCAAACAGTTCACCCATTTAAGCCATACTGCTCTTACCCCTCTTTTGCAGCCCTGTTAGAGAAACCTGAAACCCGGATGTTGGGGTCTTTAGCTTGAAAAAAGAAAGAAAAGAGGAGGCGGAGCTAATGCCTGATCAGAATTTTACCGGAGATAAAGTTAAATTCTGTTGTGATAAAACGCCATCCTGTTCTTATCCACATCAAAGATTATTTCTGAAACAGTATGGAGCTCAAATGCTTTTTCTCTTGCGGGTTTATCACAAGGTGAGTTCCTTTTTTGATTTCCTTCTTTTTAAACACATGTGCTCTCCAGTACAGGTTAGCTCTGAGTGTTAGCGAGGCTTGCTAATGTAAACAAAGATAAGATTACGTTCAAAACACGTCAGGCATTGTTTCTGATAGCAACTTTCTGTGGGTCCGCTGCCGATTTGACGTCAGATCGGCAGCAAATCTGTATCCGCTCGTTGTACCCCTGTTTTTAAAAGATTTGGGTACGGAGGAAAAGAGAGAGGGTATTATTTTCTGACGCTGCATGAGTTCCCCGACACACCGGGGACACATATTTATGTATAAAAGACATCACAAAGTGCATTTTGCATGATAGGTCCCCTTTAATGTATATTTTCTTGTGTCTGACGCGTTGTTAGAATGAACGTGCATATATATTTACTTGTGTGCGCGAGCGTGACATGCATTTAAGTTAACCGCAAGTTTACCTTGACTTTCTAATGCTTCTAATGCCAATTTTGCAGAGGTTCAAGGCATTGGCTACAGACAAACAGTGTCATTGCTCCCACTAGTTCAAGCCATCACACTGTATGTATGTATTGAATGTGTGTGTGTGTGTGTGTGTGTGTGTGTGTGTGTGTGTGTGTATACAGGGGCGCCGTTTACCGACAGGCAAGTGCTTGGACCAGAAGGGGGCCCCCAAATAAAGTAGATTATTCCAATCCAATCCAACTTTATTTATATAGCACTTTAAACCTCCTGACCAAAGTGCTGTACAGAGAGATACATACAATATAAAACCACACAGCTCAGCTCACAAAACATAAAAATAAATAAATAAAAACATTTAAAATAAAAGATACAAACACAAAACAAACCAGAATAAATGTAAACATTTTTTTTAAAAAGAAAAAGATTAAGAGGGTCCACAGCAACGACAACATGAAAGACCCTTTAATTTACTGCAACGACATGTCGGGAAACCCCCTCAAGGGGGCCCCATGCATAGCACGCCGAAACTGCTTCTTAATTTCCTTTTACTTTACTGGCATTGATCCGGACCATTGACCTTGTATACAATTCACAAGTGGACCTTTAACAAAAAAGTTTGAGTACCCCTGCTGTAGAGGGTATACACGGTCCTCTTTTAAGTCACTTGTAAGTTCTTTCTTTCTGATTTCTGAGAAGCTTTTGTTTTGATATAACCTTAAATTGAATATGTTTTGAATGGGGAAAGCAGCATTTCCTTGAAACAGCTTTCGATTTTATTTTTAAATCAACACTTTCTCCTAATAATTGCTGAATGTTAGGCTTGCCTGTTGAGAGATTACATTGTTTCATTTTAATCTTAACCCTTGTGCTCATACAAATATTATTTTTGCTAAATGAAAATAATTAGTTTGAGGGTACCCACTGAAAGAATCAACAGATTGCTCAATAAGGTAAATAATCAGTTGCATCCCTTCTTGGATTTATTTTGCTCACTGATCATCCTTTCTTCTGGTACAAAAGACTACAATACACACACACACACACACACACACACACACACACACACACACACACACACACCTATTGCATTGGTAACTAATTTGTATCAGAGCTTCTTTCTCTTGCGTTCGAAACGGGCAGGGAATTAGCTGCCCTGTGCGCGCGCGCTTTAAGCCACGGGTCCGGGATCGCGCGAGGATTGTCTCTACCATCTCAGCTTCTCGTCAGGCTGCGCACCTCGCGCGTCTTAGCATCCATCTCCATAGCGAAGCACTGATCCTCCACGAGCACTGGTGAGTCCATGTTATTCTTTTCTTGAATGTAAAGTAAGTGTGATTTTTATTTTAAACAACATTTTACATATTTTACTCTGTCATTTATTTGCCCTGCTGTCGGGTTGAAAGTGTCTTTTGCACTTTGACACTTAATAATTGGAACTATAGCTGCTTGTGTGGACCATAGACTGTATATATGGTGTGGACGTTAGGATTACTCCATAAACAAAGCTTCACCTAAACCCCTGTTTAGTGTAGAAATCCCCCGATAGCTGTAGGGTCGCGTGCCAGGGGCTGTTTTGTTTTTTTACCTCCGACCATCTGGGTGCACACAACTGTTGTGTCCATGAACGATTAATTAAACACTTATCGAGTAAACAGCTCCTGGAAATGCTTGAGGATTCATCAGTCAAAATTGAATTGAATTCGTTTATTGTATGCTGTTTTTTTAAATACAAATGTGCTGGCAGGTGTACCGGTTAAAGTAAAACTCACTGCAAGTATAGGCTACATGTGATTTGCACTTGTATTTAATGTATCACTTTAAGCTAAAGTCTTTGTTAGTTTCACAACTGTATGTTTCCTTTTATGGCATTAGAAAGGAATGATTTAGATGTTAAAATTAGCAAAGAGTAATCTGCTGTATCCCAGGACAGGCCGTATCGCCTGTTGCCCTTTGCCTGGTTCTTTTTAGTGTGAGGGTGCAGCTGGCTCTCCTGCCTGTCAGAGAGCTTACGAGCCTTTAAACCCCCGAGCAGAGACACTCTTGGATGCATTTGCGCATTCCTCTTGTGCCGTCTCCATAGTGCAGAAACGATATACAAATATTACTAATGCCTAATACTCAGGCATTAGTTATAATACCTATGAAGGAAACTAATAAGAACATCTTATAAAGCAAGTGTTTTTGGAAAAATTAAATGCCCCTAATATTTTAAACTAAAATGTTTTCTTGCATTGCAAATAATGACAACATTTTGAAATTCATAATTTAATTGGTTTATTACACTTTAATGATAATTGTCTCCTTTCTTTAGGTAGATCTATCACTTTATTTGACCGAGTAAACTTGTTTTTGATAGTTAGACATTAATGTAAAGATATATCATGCCCAAAGAACAGCATAAAAACGTTTTACAAATATCATGAAGGAGTAAAACAACAGTCACAGACAGAAATATTGGTTGTTTTCCATATGGAGAGTGAATAGTAAAAATAGGAAATAAAATCCAAGGCATGGTCTATCTCTGATGTGCTGGTTAATTGATGCTTAATTAAAGTCTGAATTAAATGTGCATTTATTTTTTATTCACAACTTCAGCTGTGTAAGCATTATTTGAGACAGCATGAAAATCAGCCATTACAAGATATTATATGACATTATATGCAAAGTGACAAATGCACCACGCGTTGAGAATCTTGCTAACAACATGAGATCAACAAACTCAGACCTCTATGTTTTTCCAAACACAACCAAAGTTGTACTCGTACTTATTCTGTACAGATATGACTTTAAAACACATCGATGACATTCTCATGGGATGCAACATAAATCTGACTAAGAGATATGAGGACCAAAATGCATATTTTTGTGTGCACAGAATATAACAGTTTTCCAAATGTGTGTTCCTTTATTTCTTAATAACTGATATTTCACCTCCTCAGTCCTTTACAATACTTTAAAAAAGTCTTATAAGGAAAAGTAATTATTTTTGTCTTTTTGTTCACCAGTCATGTTCACAACAATTAAATGTAAAAGACGGAAAAATTGAGCTTTAAACGTAACTTGGTGTTAATGAAATATTTATATGTACATTAGATAGTGTCCATACTCAATATTGTCAGCATTTTACATTATTTCTGTTTTCATTTATTATCTGGATGTACATGCCTGATAGATTGCAAATCGTCATCATTTGTTATATGATGGTTAGGTCAAAGGTTTCAGCAACCACTGACTTACAAGATGGATTAATTGTTACATAATCCCTTTTTGACCTGCTGAACCCTAAGAGACATATTCTCCCTTTCCATCTTTGCTCTGTGTTTGCCAACACATTGTAAAGTGGGATAATCAGGGATGTGGGGGGGGTTGAAGCATGCTTGAAGCACTCTATATGTACGCTGATCAGTTGACTGTTGGTGTATTTGTTTGTCTCATGGCTCTTGAGCGGATAGTTTTAAACCTAGCATGGGACAGCTACTGAAAGCAACCCCCTTTCTCTTTCACCCACAATAAAACCTAATGATTTAATCTGTATGGCATTTTGACCAACAACATGTGTCTAGATTAGATGTAAAGGCTCAAATATTGTATGTGTATATTTCCCATCTTACAACCTGATCAGTTAAACGACCCAAACTGTATGATCACTTAAATTGACACAAGTGCATTCAAAAATGTTTAATTTAAACATTGCAGTATACATTTCCATTCATTGTTGTGTGTACAAGTTTTGAATTTCAAACAGAATTAACAGTAACAGATAGGGGTGTGAAACATGGAGTAAAAGTCACAGATAGATTCATTTGAACAACAACACAAGATGACAGCAAAATGTGAAAGATATGTCTTGTTTATAAGAGCATGTGTAGGGAAGGAGACTTTATTCAGCATTAGGGAACAGATGTACTATTTCATTACCTAGAGCTCAATTCATGTCACAATACTCCGCCAAAAATAAATGAATGTGCTTCCGAGTTGTGGTGTCACATGTTAACAGGACACACACAGGTAGGGCACCATACTATCTATATAACAAAAGGCTCATTGTAATTCAATTCAATCCATTAAAACTATGCTTCCTGGTAACAGCAGTCTTATCCAGCTGTTTCCAAACTTGGAACAGTTGAGAAAGTGAATGGCACATTTTAGGGTTATTAATAGTGTTATGTGTTGCTCTTAAAAACACTTGTTTGATATTTTATATCTGTGGATTCTAGCCCTGGCATACCCATGTGCTTCTGTTAGTGTGAGACTTAACTTCTTGGTTTCCCTTTAACACTTCCGTGTTCCGGAGAATGAGCCTAGTGACCAAATTACCCCAACAGATTGTAAACTGTGCCGCTTGGATTGCAGGGTGAGCTTAATCTGAGCCTACAGCTTCAATTGGGTAAAAACAGAGGAGACAGCTTAACTTTGACTTACTTTGCTGTCTGTAGCAGCTACTACTGTGATGTTTTTCAAACACAATACTAAAAAGTCAAATTGACCTGCGCTATATAATATATATTTCTGTCTCGACATAAACAATCAAAATCAGAGGTCCTTATCATAGCTTCATAATAAAAGAAACCCTGTTCATTCAAAGGAATACGCATCCTAAAATAAGACATGAAAAGAAATGGAAGCACATTCCTATCAACAGAAAACACAACTAAATACAAAATAATTACCAATGAGTAAAACATTGGGTTGTCCATTTTTTTCCCAATATGACATTGATGGGCTACACAATAAAGTAAAATGCATACAATCAGTGACTATGGTTTCAGTTAGACATACTTCACTTTCAATGGTCACAAAAAGTTAAGGCACCATTGTGTTTTAATAATATAATCTAGCTGGGAGTAATGGTGCCTGCATTAATGGATTATTTCTTTCCATTAACAGACACAGAACGGGTGATCGTCCCAATTTCTGAAAACTGAATTCTTGTTTTTCTGATCATGTACCGACAGTGATGAAACGGAAAAGAACGTGTGCCTGTCACCACAGAAATGAGTGAGCGGTCTTCCAGTCACTCAGTGAAGCTTGTGTCCTTGGCCCAATCACTGTCCCAGCTTGGGTTTGAGGCCGCCAATGGAAGCCCCGTCAGCCCCCCCGACGATGACGAGCCCCCTCCTCCGGTATGGACTTCTATGAATATCAACAGTCCCATCCTGAATCCTCAAAATCACACAACAATTGATTACCTACTTGGCATGATCTGTATCAAGTACTACCTACATTCCCAATGTGTAACCCCATACATCTGTGTGCTTTTCTGCATTTCTCCAGGAGTCCGGCATCGAGCTAGGCCCTGGACTATTTTTCTCCGATGGCAAAAGAAAAGTTGACTATGTCCTTTGCTACAAATACAAAAAAAAGCCATCCAAAGCACGCCTTTCACTTATCCCCAATGGGACTCTGCCCGTTTCGATTACGGGCCGCTGTGAGGTGGAGGCAGAGTCTGGGGATGGAGGTGCTCCTGCAGGAGAGGTGGAGGAGTCAAAGCTGACTGAGGAGGAAAAGGCTTTAATGAGGGAGGAGTTTGAAGCGGGTCTAATGGAAGCAGGACTACAGCTACAGCGTGATAAAGAGGTGCGTTTCTGCTTTTACAGTCCTTTCAACGTGATTATTTTTCATCTGCTACACACTTCTATAGACGTTTATGGGTCAGAGCTGACCTTAAGTGATGTGAACATAAATCCTGTCATGGACGGCTGCCAAACAGGTTGAGGGGAAGATTGACCTTGTCCCTTAAAACTGGAGGACATGCCTGCACTCTGGTTTAAAATAGCCTTTATTACTTATTGGTGATTTATTATGGGATGTAATAATAGTTATAATAGTCGAAATTACAGTAATAAGTATGTTGGATGTTGTATGTCTTTTGTCGTGTACATTAATAGTATCTGCAAGTGTGTTTGTTTTCCCTATGTCTGTGAATATGTGCATGTTAGTGTGTGTGTCTTTGTGTGTGTGTGTGTGTGTTGGCGTATGTGTTTGTGAGATGGTTGTGTGTTAAATCAGCTGCTGTTTTGGTTGAGGATTAAGAACACTCGCCATGAGTCTAAAGCCAAAGGCCAGATTATAGGGCCTTATTAGAGTGATCCACTGCTCAGAAGTGTGTGTGCTGAAACATGAGTGCACAGTGGGGGAGATTGGTGGGTTTAGTTTTGATTGAATGGGTGGAAGGGGGCACTCAGTGGTCACTGTGTACTGGACAGTATGTCTATCTGTCTGCCTGTGCTTGAATACGATAAGAATCACATTTTTGTAACTGAGCTCTGACGGTTTCATCCAATTGTTTACTGTTGTGGGTATGAATATGCTTAATTTAGCCTTTATTTATACAGGTGTAGATCTCATTGATACACAAGGTCTAATTTTCAAGAGAGACCTGTCAGTGGTAACACTACCACACAAAGTTACAGACAGACAGGACACTAAACACGGAGGCAACACTAAGACCCCGGCCACACGAGGACGAAAACGGCTAAACGCATAGGATTAACGCAAACAAGCTTCCGTCCACACGCAATAGTTATCCGGATAGTGTCTGCCCACACGAGACCGCTCCGTTTAGCTCCAACCGCTGGAGAAGCTGCAGTACATATGCAGGAGCCTGTACGTGGCGCTGTAACTTCCTCCACAAAAGCAGCGAAGAAGCATGGTTGTCATGGTTGCCCTTCTGTTTATTCTCCGCGGTGGGGGGCGAGGGAACCGGGCAGAGTTTCTCGCCAGTCAATGTGTATTAAAGTTTAAACCTTCCGACAAAATTATAAAAGTGCCGGTCAAAGGTCTTCTTTGTTATTTATTGAGCTTTAAAACAAATGAATAACGACTCTATATAATATAATAATAAAATACACGGAGCCTCTCTTTTTCCTCCCTCTCTTCGGACAGCGCCAGTGTCTGTTTCATGCAGCAGCTGATCCAGTAATGAGTCACCCGGCCGACAGTAAAAATAAACATATTTATAACTAGTTTAGGTAGTTTGAGAGGTGTCTCCGTCCTGTCAGATTAGACTTCACTCGCGTTTATGTCCATATCGAGAGAAAGATAAATAATCTGAATTCAGTGTGCAGTTTACTTTGACGCGGGGGTGAGCAGCAGAGGTGGGGAGAGGCGGGGCTATTGCGCAATCACTATCAGAACATGTTCGTATAGGGCGCACACACGGAGCTGTTTGACCCCCCAGAGCGTTGCGTATGCCGTTCTATCCACCTTGGGACCCGTTATCGTTTCCTCAGTCGTTTAGTGCCGTATGCGGTCGTCCTCGTGTGGCCGAATGGTCTATATGACACTAAACAGTAACGCAAACGGCCGTTTTTGTCCTCGTGTGGCTGCAGCCTGAAATACAACATCGTAAAAAAAAAAGTAGTCATTAAAATCCATATACACTACAGTCAGATATAGCAGGTGCAAACACCCACAGATGATTTCTCCAGCTTTTTTAAAAATGAGTTTAAAATCCGTGATGGGTATCAAAGTGGTCAGCTAAGTTCCTGCTGAAGTGTGTTCCAGGTCGAAGGGGCAGAGTATGATATGGCTTTTTTCCCAAGCACCGTGCGTACTGAGGGGACGGACAGAGTGATATAATGTTGAGATCATAGTCTATAGCTGTACTGTTTGTGTGATATGTAAGTGGATATGTAGAGGGGCAGCAGTCCAAGCATAGCGGTATAGATGAGTTTGTACCAGTGCAGTGATCTGCGCATTGATAATGATGTCCAGTTGACTAAAGCGTACAGCTTGCAATGGTGTGTGAGGGGTTTACAGTTGGTTATGAACCTCAGAGCCCCATGGTAAGCAGCGTCCAGCAGATGAAGGGAGTGAGCTGAGGAGTTCATATACACAACATCTCCGTAGTCCAAGAGCGGCAAAAATGTAGCAGCTACAAGCCGTTTCCTCGCACTTGTGGAGAAGCAGGCCTTATTTCTAAAAAAGAATCCCAGTTTTAATATCAATTTCCTTAAGAGATTGTCAATATGTGGTTTGAAGCAGATATTTTCATCTATAGTGATGCCTAAGTATCTGTAGGTGTTAACAGCTTCATTTTTATAGACTTATCCAAGGCATTTGATACTGTGGACCATGGCATTCTATGCCAGAAGTTATCCCATATAGGCCTGTCTGACCAAGCTGTTGGTTGGTTTGCAAACTATCTTTCAAATCGCAAGCAATGTGTAAAATTCAGCAGTCTCTCCTCAAGCTTTCTTAATGTGCTCAGAGGTGTTCCTCAAGGTTCGGTCTTGGGACCGACCCTTTTTACTATTTATATAAATGATGTGGGTCAAAGTATTGATGCCTCTGTACATCTATATGCAGATGATACTGTTGTGTACTGTTGTGCTAGCACTGTTGCCCTTGCATTTGAACGTCTGCAGTCTGCTTTTGACACTTTTCAGTCACATCTGTTCCACCTTAGGTTGGTGTTAAATTCAGATAAGACAAAAGTCATGTTGTTTTCCAATAAGAAAAAGTTACCAACTGTTCTTCCCTGCATCATGTCTGCACAGCATTAATTGTGTTGTTTGTTTGTGCTACAGCATAAGGAAGTTATTTTACATCATACTTACATCATGATTGTACAATTTACTTTTCAACCAAACGGTGGACATACTTTTTTTTACCACTACTCATTCAAAGTGGTAAAAATATGAATCTTTGCATCAAAATGCTTCCTTTTTATAACATTTTGATGATTTCTGATCAGAATGAGGTAGCTTAATAGTAGTGTATAGTGTCCAATGATGGGTGTTCATGTTGCTGTCGGAAAATTGCTGGTAAATTGCTGGTGACACACAGCATTAGAGGTGTTGGTTGAGCCTGTGCAGTGGTAGCTGCCTTGCATTAAAGTCATTACAGTAATTGCATGGGCAGGTTATAATTCTGTGGGCCATAGAACAAGGTAATAGCTTGTCACTTTTCACATGATCAAAATGGATAACTGGCTACATTAAGGCGGCTTTCAAGTACCTAGTCCAACATTATCTGGACTCATTTTCTATACTTTGGAGGATTGGGAGGTTCTAGGCTTCACATAATGGGATTTCCAACAAAACAGCCTCATTATTACACAAAGTAGCATACTTACAGGTTTAGGGAAGGCTCATCTGACTGCCATGGGCCATGGATAACAAGAGCATTACATCCAAGGCAAAGGGAGTCAAAAGACCAGATACACAGTTAATCTATTCATAGAGGCCTGTAACCCACATCTAATTACAAATATACACAATGGTTGTAGTAATGCATTTTGTGTTTTTATTATGTTAATGTTTGTCTGTGTGTACATTGGCAGAGGGCTAAAGGCATAGGGTTTATCCGGCTTCACATCCCATGGCCAATACTCAGTCGAGAAGCGGAGCTCCAGAAGATCAAAGTGGCTGTGAAGAAGGTCAGCAGCCATTTACACACCCTGGTTTTTAATGTTAAGTTGTATGTAACATGATTCTAACATTTGCAGAATAATTATTTGGGTGCACATAACATCCCCTTCAAAGAAATGCAATGTGAATAGTGATGACGGGGATGTGTGTAGTGTGCACAACTTAGTGTAGAATAGAATCAAACCTTTTCTATGTGTGTTTTCATTGAGCAGAAGTGTGAATTGCGGAAACGGATGGGAATTGCTGGGATGTGGGATTCCATTATGAACAAAATCAGCACACCGTTTCTTCCGGATGTTCCTGACTGTGAGGTCCAAAGAGACTCACAGACACGTGTCCACTTCAAAACCCTCAAACATCCTTTTATCAGAGACAAGCTCCACCTGTAAGTACCTGTCTGTCCCGCTCACATGCACACATTTCGTGGAAGGGAAACTAACCCACTTTATCCACGCCCTTGGCTGGGGACACGCATGCCCTTCAGTTGAGTCCTGATAAGTGATTTAGATAACACCCATAATATCCAAATCACCTGCAGGCTGTGTGCTTACATCATTCTTATCATAACATGGTGGAGCTTTCATGTAAATTAATATTACTGTTTGGACTACTGAAATGCTACTGGGTCACACTCAACAGTGATTTCCTCAAGTTACCTGATTTATTTGATTAACAAACACACACAAAGACAAAATAAACACTTGTGTCACTAAAATGTGAAAGTGAGTGAAGTCTGTTGTTAATATTAATCACTCACATTTTGGTCTTTGACTGCTTCCTGTCATTTCCTGCAGGTATGACATCAAGTCAACAGAAACCCTATTTGACAACGCAACACGCAGCAGAATAGTGAGTACAGAAAAAAAATCCAACAAATGTTATGTAAGGAGGAATATTTATATATATATATGTAGTTGAGCTCACACAATTTGGATTTCCTTTTTTTGTGTTTAGGTGGCTGAGATTATTTCCCGCACTGTCTGCAGTCGAACTTGCCAAACCACTGGTGAGGTCAAACTTTAGCTGTGGTTTTATTCTCCTTTCTTATATTGTGCATATGCACATTCATGCTACCTCTCAACATGGCTGTGACACTGCGTTGCACTTCCTATTTTCTAATTTAGGCATCAACTCATTATTGGCTCAGGGTGTCTACGACTCTGCCTTCCCTCTGCATGATGTGAGTATAACAGAAAAAGCTACTTCACTTGACAATGTGAAAGTGCATGTGCATATTCTTTATGTTAAGGGCCTTATTGATTTATATAGCACCAAACATAGAAAAAATACTGTTCTTAACCATTGTAATTGTTGTAATTATGATATTGCATCAAATAAAGGAAGTAAATCTCTATATAAAGGGTTCTTTTTTTCTACAGGGTTCGTTCACAAGGAGAGGGAGGAGAGATCAGCGAAATGACAGACAGGTGAGTTCAGTGGACCCAAAATGTTCTCAAAAAGCCTACTACACATATTGGTGGGATCAGTGGAGATGGTACCTGTCACTTTTTCAGGGCAGGAACATGTAATGTAAAGTGTTCAAAGTTTAATTAACAAAGCACTCTTTTAAATGTATAATGCTTTTTTCCTCTCAAAGCATGACTTTGAGAGGGAAATGGCAATGAAACCGCTGTATATTGTCAAATTAAATCCAATCTGCAATTCAATTATCAAGTGTCAACTTGTGATTTATTCTTGTGTCATGTGCTTTCAGCTCCTCCATGAAGAATGGGCCAACTATGGAGTCATGTATAAATATCAGCCGGTTGACTTGATCAGGTATGGAGCAGTTAGTGAGAACAAAGAAAAAAAGTCTTTAGCTACAGCTATAGTTGGGACTGCAATGCAAACACTCTGTTGTTTTAACTAGAAAGCTCATAGAGAGTCTTAAATGTAAGAGATCTAAATAAACGGTAAGCTACTACTGAACCTACCATGAAGTAATAGTTTTGTTGGCAGAATGTTTTGACATTAGCCTTCACTGGGATAATCTGGCCTTTAGCTGGGACACTGTTTACTACTGTGGAACAGGATTGGACCATATGCCGGCAACTAGTTCATATATTTGCTTCATTTCAACAGGAAGTACTTTGGAGAGCAGATTGGGTTGTATTTTGCCTGGCTCGGTGTCTATACTCAGCTCCTCATCCCCCCCTCTGTGCTGGGCATCATTGTCTTCCTGTACGGTTTATTCACTGTGGATACCAATGTGCCAAGGTAGGCAGATTAAAACACTCTAATGGATGATTATCAGAAGTACACTATTATCGCCATACATGTGGTCACATTATTGTCTTTGCTCAGCCAGGAGACATGTGATGACCACCATAACATCACCATGTGTCCACTGTGTGACGGAGTGTGTGACTACTGGCTCCTGAGCTCCGTCTGCTCACTGACCAGAGCGTCGTACCTGTTCGACAATGGAGTAACTGTCCTCTTTGCCATCTTCATGTCTCTGTGGGGTAACTAATCATTCAAAGACACTTCCTTGATCATGTTTATTTCTGTAGTCCAGTTTAGAAGCAGTGGCAGTGAGAGTATGAACACTTGAATACAGCACTACGAGAATCACTGATAAAGATATCTGATTTATATCAATATCAAGCTACTTAACTGCATGCAAATGTACTGTAGGCCAAACGAGTTGACTCATGTTTGTATCAATTCTAGTCGAGAACATTTCTGTATTAAGGGAATACTTTACCCCCAAAAGGATAAATTGTATATCAATTACCCACCCCATTATATCTTAAGTAAATTTCAATAATTTTATGTATATTATTTCCGCATTTAACAACAACCAAACTATTAAAAAATCTCAGGCGAAAACATCTCACAGAACTTGTACAGTATGAATTAAATGTTGTGTGTTCAGGCTCATCCTAACTATTACCTAAACAAAAAGCATTTTCTTTACAAAAACCTCACTATTTTAAAAATAAAGGAAATACTTTTGGAAGACTTTTGCAAGTTGAATAGGGAATAATAAGACATGGATTATGTTGGATAAGATGTATGATGGTTTTTATAGATTTGCTCTTGCTAAAGGTGGGGTAGGTAATTTTGGAGAAACCAGCTCGAGTGCGCTAGAATTTGAAAATACACAGCCGGAAAAAATGTGCCACTTCCTTACAGAGCCCCTCCTCAAACACACAGAACGCGCACATGACCAATGAGGGCACGAGATAAGTTTGTGCACAGATGGAAGGCTGACAGGCAGGTAGGCCATCCAGTTACTTTAGCCGGGCCGGCTAAAATGATTGGTCGTGCTTTATACAGTATCACGGCTTCCACAGATGCAATTTGTTTATGTATTTATTAGGGCCGGGACCCGATTAAAAAAATTAATTTAATTAATTAGAGGCTTTGTAATTAATAAATCGAAATTAATCGCATTTTTAATCACATATAAATATTTGACCTAAGAACAGTGAGAAGCAATTTTTTTCACATGGATTTTAGTATACCATTAGGCGCATTCACACCGCAGTACTTTTCCCACAAAGGTTCATGAGAATTTATTTCATGAGAACTCTTTGAACCTGGGGGTGGATTAGGCAAATGAAGCCGCTGACGTCACTTCTTCTTCTTCTGCTTTGGGTTTACTGGCAGGCCGCAAACCACTTCACGGCGTATACTGCCGCCCAAAGTCCCCGGCCGGAAGTCCCCGGAGTTGGGGACTGGCTTCAGTAGAAGCTGCTGGGAGTCCCAGCAGCTTCTACTGAAGCCTTCCGAGTAAATCGCTAGAACGCCGACACCTCCTCATCTCCACCGCTCCCATGTTTTATTTTGTGTTGCCATAAGTTAGTCTCTCTGCGTTTCTGCGCTGGGCTAATGCTAATAATGCTAATGCAAGGATAATAAAATGGCGGCTTCACAAAACTTTTTGGGAGTTTTACGGGGCGTGGTTTGCAATCCGCCCAGCCAATCAGAAATATAGCTCTTTTCTCACAAGAGAGCCGTACGAAAGTCCCTGCTCTCTAGCAGCTCTCTGCTCTCTAGCAGGGACTTTCGTGGGGTTAAAAAGGTTCTCATGAACTCATTTTAGTACCGGCTCTTTTTGGTGTGAACGCGATAAAAGAGGCTAACGTCCACGCTAGCTGCTATATGTTTTGCATTGAAGTTATACTTGAGGCTTGATGTGCTGCGGTGATATGCGAATTCCTTTTTGCATAATTTGCACACAACCGTGCTCTTATCGACGCTTCCATCCGTCCGTTTTTTAAAACAACATTTCCCACTGTTGTTCACTGTGGTTTGTTGTTGTCTGAAGTCATGAACGTTAGTTGGTGCTCCAGTATAATCGGTACGCCTGAAACTCATCCAGTGAGAAACGTTCCGCGGTGCAAAAATAAGTGCGATTAAAATGCGTTAATTTTTGTGTAATTAATTAATCTTAATTAACGCGTTAAAGTCCCGGCCCTAGTATTTATTGTCAAAGCACTTAAGATATTCATTGCTATCGGGATGTTAAGAGCATTCCATGGAATATAACAAAAAGTGTTTCTGAAATAAATTACATACCCCACCTTTAAATGCAGCAAACGTTTACTTTCATTAAGAGTTTCCTCTGTTTTTTGATTCTGCATTCAATGTGAGGGTATAGAATAATTTGTTTTCTCGCAAGCCAAAGCTAACAGGGGTTGAGAGTAATGGATCTACAAACCATCATTTTGGATGTAAAGTATATAAAACATTTGCTTCATTTTGTTTGCTGTAAAGGGAGGCTCATAATACTCCATAACTAAAACATTATAAACCCACTATCAGACTTTCTTGTGTAATAAAAGAAAAGGGGAAATCTTTTTGTATTGTTTACAGCTAATGATTGTTATTCCTTCTGTGTTTGTTCTTGTAGCTGCCTGTTTTCTCGAGCACTGGAAGAGGCGCCAAATGTGTCTGAAACATATGTGGGACCTTACAAGCCTTGAGGATGAGGAGGTACCAAAATAGATTCAAGAATACACCCACAATATTTTGGAATAGACACAGTGTCAACTGCTTGTCATTGAGAGTATCCATGTTTTTCTCCATGTTGTAAGGTCAGAAAGCCCAGGTGAAGCATAATAACATTTGTTTTTTTACCTTGCAGATTATTATTCGTGACAGAACAGTGTCAACATACACATGTACACTTGAACATCAGAGCACTAACACGGCTCTTTAACCTGTTAATGGCTGTAATGGGATTGCTCTATTCTTAAAGGCTGTGCTTGCTAGTGACACTGCTGTGTTTAATTATAAACACTCCCAGCGTTGCAGCACCAATACAAATCTCTCTTTTTCTCTGTCTCTCTTTATGTATTTCTGCCATTGCTGCTTATAGGAGCGAGTCCAGGTGTGTATTATAAATCATGTCTTTCAGAAATATCTTTGTTTGAATATTTATTACCAATGTATTTGGATAACATATTTTGAGTTGTCTAGGAGAAGACTCTTTTTAAACGTTACTGTGGTGGGTCTTCTAATAAGAAATTGTATAAAAAAACAGCATTTTATTGATTTTGGAAAATAAATTCCAATCAAAATCAGTCTGATCCCTTTGATAAAATCTATGTTTTTTGGTCAAGGTCCCTGACAAAATGTTATTCTGTCCAGGTGCAGGCCACTAATGACATCAAACTGCTAATGTCAGTTTTTCAATCAGAAATGTCATAGAATATGGCTCTGTTGTATAGGTCTGTCTAACCCTTAACTCCGTAGCAAGTGACCAAAGTCCATATACTAAGTTGTGGTGTGAGGGTTGTTTTGTGTGTGTGTTTTACCATGTGCATGTGTGTGATGCAGGAGGAGCTGAGGCCTGAATATGAAGAAGCTCTGCTGGAGAAAAAAGCAAAGGTGAAAGAACTGTCAAAGAAAAAGGTATTGTTTCTGGGTTTATGTTTCAGATTCAATTTTATGATTTGTGACACCAACCGAAGTGACAGCTTCTAACACGTTTCTCACTCCGTTTTGACTTGCAGATGGCTCACATTGGGGATGGTATAGATGGAGAAAAAGACCAAATGCTGACCTCACAGGTATCACTGCACCCTTCTGTGTGACTTTATGTCGAGACAGTTGCTAATAGGAGACGGCAGGGCTGTTGCTTCATAGCAACATTATCCATACCAGCATTAATTACAGCATGTCTGAGTTTTTATTCGAAATTAAAGTTGTAACAGACCTACTCTGTCTGTATGAGTTCATGTTGGTGAACAAAAAGGAAACCACCTTCACCTCGAGTGGATGGTTGACTCCAAAGCGGCTTACCTTCCTGAGATTAGCTTAGATTACTGATAGAGAGAGAAAAAGGGAGGAGGGAGAGGAACAAGGGGAGGGGATTCTATCAGGCGGTAAACATGCACCTGGCAGACAGAAACCATAATGTCCTCAAAATCTGTGCTCAGCATTAATGTACATCCCATGCTGTTCATGGAAGTATATTACAGTGTGTGTGTGTGTGTGTGTGTGTGTGTGTGTGTGTGTGTGTGTGTGTGTGTGTGTGTGTGGTGTGTGTGGTGTGTGGTGTGTGTGTGTGTGTGTGTGTTGTGTGTGTGTGTGTGTGTGTGTGGTGTGTGTGTGTGTGTGTGTGTGTGTGTGTGTGTGTGCGTGCGTGCGTGTGTGTGCGTGCGTGTTTGTTTTTATCTTTGTACCCAATTAATATGCATGTTTTCTCGACAGCTTGAACCAGAGTCCCTGGAGATTGAGGATCACCTTTCAGGTTATCTCATCAATGTGTCCACTTTACTACTGCTGGTACTGCATTTACATTCCTCCTCTTATAATCACATCAAACATTATATAATGATTACTGTCATTTTTGGTGAGAACAGTGTACAACAGAATTATTCAGCTTTTTCCTCCTGTCATTGTTTGTCTATTCACTTGAATCACTTCCTCACTGTGAAGCATATTATGTCTATTATTTTTCTCACAATGACAGTGTTAATAGCAGTGACCCAAAATGTGTGCTAGCAAAACAAATTTATTCTGGAAACAATCTAACTTGTTCCAGACATTAAAGATCATAAAAAAACAAATGTTAATTCAAATTCAACAGAAGGATAAAACTGCCCTTACAATAAAAGAGAGAAATCATAAAAATAAGAGATGAAGCAAACAAAAAAATGCTAATTTACACGCACTTAAAATTATAAACATACACTGCTCATAAAGAATAGTCATTAAAAAAGCAATCCTATGTTGTTGTCTAATTTTAATATTGTGGGTATGTGTGTTGTGTGTGCAGATCTTCGTCACCTTCTCAGCCGTTTTTGGGGTGGTGGTTTATCGTATCTGCATGTTGAGTGTGTGGTCCATGAACCCTGACCCTGAAGCCAAGGCCAGCGTGAGGATGACCGTCACCACCACAGGCATCATCCTCAACATGCTCGTTGTTCTGGTGCTGGAAGAGGTCTACGGATCCATCGCTGTGTGGCTGACTGAACTGGGTATTCAATATAATCCTGTCATTATGTAAAAACGGTTTAATAAGGAATTGTCACGTCTCTCAACATTGGGCCAATGGATAATTGCTGAACAAATAAACATATTTTTGGATTAAAACAAAACGATTTGAGCATGTAAGGCCTTGTTACTTATTTAGTTGACTCCTTTGGATGAAAATCAATCAATGTGATGCCTAACATGATGTGTTTACGTTTCATGTTTCTCCTTTCCAACAGAACTTCCTAAGACAAAGGAAGAGTTTGAAGAGAAGCTGATCTTTAAGTCTTTCTTCCTCAAATCCATGAACGCCTTTGCACCTATTTTCTATGTGGCCTTCTTCAAGGGCAGGTGTGTGCCTCATATACAATCTTTTACCTCTCAACATTGTCTTTCCTTATTGCTTATTATGCAACATCTTTTCATACAGGTTTGCTGGGCGGCCTGGGGACTATGTTTACGTCTTTGGAGATTATCGCATGGAGGAGGTATCTTCACTTACACACATTAAAAATGACGCGTATGTATGTACAGTTAATGTGTATCTGTGTCTTGAGAAAATGTGTTTTGTCTTCCTACAGTGTGCCCCGCCAGGCTGCCTCATCGAGTTGTGCATCCAGCTTAGCATGATCATGCTGGGAAAGCAGCTCATCCAAAATAATGTATTTGAGGTTCTCATACCGTAAGTATATATAAAGATTTTAACACTTAACTTACACTTCTCCTTTATTTATCAATCGTTGCTATCTTTGCTCTGACTCTGCACTCTGTTTTCTCACATTTGTCTTTGCAGTAAGCTGAAGAAGATGTACAGAACGATACAGGAAGAAAAGGGAAAGAAAAGAGCAGCACAGGATGAGGATTCTGTAGCAGAAGAGAAGAGGCCGAAGCAACAATTTGACAAAGACTTCACCCTTGAACCCTATGAAGGGGTGACTCCAGAATACATGGAAATGAGTGAGTCTCTTCTACTACTTTGCTCACTCACTAGTCACTCACTACTGCAATCACACAACATGCTTCTTTAACTTTGTGTGTTTTACAGTAATCCAGTATGGGTTTGTGACTCTGTTCGTGGCCTCCTTCCCGCTGGCGCCAGCGTTCGCTCTGCTCAACAACGTCATTGAAATCCGCCTGGATGCTGCAAAGTTTGTCACTGAGCTCAGGCGGCCTGATGCTGTGAGGTGTAAAGACATAGGTACAGATCACACATGAGAGCACGTCCACTCTGTCAGTCAGCCTGTGTGAATGTGAAACAAGCTATCCTTGAAATTGTAATCACTTTTTCCCTTAATCTTCTCTGCCTTTGTCTGTCCCGCACACATTTCCCTTTTCCTCCTTGTCTTTTTGTCTCTGTGTCTCTTTTCATGCAAATTCTATGTCCAGGGATTTGGTACAACATACTCTGTGGAATCAGCAAGTTTTCTGTCATTACCAATGTAAGTGTGTGTGAGTGTATCTGTGTGTGTATATACTATGTATGTATCTGCTGTGCCCATTAACTGGATGTGCACAACTAGTTATTTAACGTTTTGAATACTGAGTAATAATATATGAGTGAAATGTTTTGCTTTTGCCATATCATTGTTTTTTACATCATCAAGTTTTTATCTTTTGTTTTATTTGCATTTCATACTTAAAGCAACATCAATTAGTTCATTATTATATTGTTGCCCCTTCAATTCTACAATGCAAGTAACCCATACACAGCTGTCTTAAACATAGACATATGTCCCTTTACAGGTGCATTTGTATATGTTTTCAACTTTTGATATTACACATTACTATCATAAGTCAGTGTAGCATCATAAACAATTTTGAAGCTGTTAACATTTAAATTATTTTAAGATTAAAATTGTGATATAATGTTGCGTTAAAGAGACAGAGGATCATCATGTGTAAAAAGGAGCGCTCTGGAGTGTCTGTGTAACAAAGAAAATATGTTTACATTCACTATTTCTCACAAAAATGCATTGAGTCATTGATGCAATTTGCATTTTCTAAAGCCTTTGCAAAATAGTTGGAATTATTTGCGTGAACACATTAACATTCATGTTTGCTAGCTGGCAGTCTCCTTTTCTCTTGACTTGTCGGTGCATTTATTTACACAAAATACCAGCTATTTGATCAGTTGAGTAACAAAAGACCATTGGCAGGAATGTGGAGCCAATTAATAATAATAATAATAAACTAATAGTTTTTGCTGTATTTGTACATTTTCATTTTTGTTTGTAAAGTAACTAGCAATTATATCGGTCACAAAACATATCATGAAAACCTTGATATATTTTAAATTAACTTGGTCAAAATTCTCACCAGTGTACCTTTAAGGCCCCGGCCACACGAGGACGAAAACGGTCGTTTGCGTTACCGTTCTGTGTCATATAGACCGTTCGGCCACACGAGGACGACCAAATATGGCACTAAACGACTGCGGAAACGATAACGGGTCCCAAGGTGGATAGAACGGCATGTTTATTTTTACTGTCGGCCGGGTCACTCATTACTGGATCAGCTGCTGCATGAAACAGACACTGGCGCTGTCCAAAGAGAGGGAGGAAAAAGAGAGGCTCCATGTATTTTATTATTATATTATATAGATTCGTTATTCATTTGTTTTAAAGCTCAATAAATAACAAAGAAGACCTTTGACCGGCACTTTTATAATTTTGTCCGGAAGATTTAAACTTGAATACACGTTGACTGGCGAAAAACTCTGCCCGGTTCCCTCGGCCCCCACCGCGGAGAATAAACAGAAGGGCAACCATGACAACCATGCTTCTTTGCTGCTTTTGTGGAGGAAGTTACAGCGCCACGTACAGGCTCCTGCATGTACTGCAGCTTCTCCAGCGGTTGGAGCTAAACGGAGCTGTCTCGTGTAGACAGATTGATTGATTGATTGATTGAAAAGTTTATTAACAGCTTGTATATTGGGTACAGTATAGTACAGCTCAAAACATACAATTGTTAAGGGGATGCAGACCAGAGAAAGACTTTCGTCTTGTTTACATCAGGGTCCCCCATTTCCAATTCATCGTATCATTTAAGACATATTTGACATACAGATGGCTTATTTACAATTTACATACAGGTGGTTTTTTACATACAGATTGCTTATTTACAATTTTCATTTTAGATTTCGTTCTAATACATCCTAACCGGACATTTAAGACATACCAAGTCTACAGATATACAGTTAGTAACAGAGTCTAAAATGCGAGTATATACATAGATGGGGGGGGGGAAGCTGTCCATTGTACGACAGGTTGAGATTTGTACCATTACCGGGGCCAGTTTTGCAATGCTCTCCCCCGAAGGTGCTCTTTAAAAGAGGTTTTGAAGGTAAGTATAGTTTTAACAGACACTATCCGGTGAATATTGCGTGTGGACGGAAGCTTTTTTGCGATTGCGTTTGCGTTAATCCTATGCGTTTAGCCGTTTTCGTCCTCGTGTGGCCGGGGCCTAAGTCTAATATAATCCTATATGGTTGTATATAGCTTATCACCAGTTGATGTTGCAGCAGTAATTGGTACACGATGATCATATTACACTATTGTAAATTCATCACTCCTTGTTTGTCTTCCCAGGCGTTTGTCATCTCCTTCACGTCAGAGTTTGTTCCACGAATGGTCTACCAGTACATGTACAGTGAAAATGGGACCATGAAGGGCTTCACAGAGCACTCACTGTCCTACTTTAATGTCACCAACTTCCCACCGGGCAGTGCGCCCACCTCCACCCTCATCACCGGAGTCTCTATGTGCAGGTCAGACTGACTCTCTTATCCCTGACCTACCTAGGTTTTCCTTTAAATCCTGAGCCCAGCAGCTTAGCTCTTACTTTACCCAATTACCAAACTTGACAGGAGTATTCAGAAACTGTAAAATGTGGGGTTTACAGAAGGGGTTTTACGAAGGCAAATCCTCAGATTTTTCTCTGTTTGTCAACCTTTTTGGATTTATGGTAGTGTATGATTCTCCTTGTTAATACACTGTCTGTGTTTTTCAGGTATAAGGACTACAGAGACCCACCGTGGGACTCTCATGCCTACACCTTCTCTAAACAGTACTGGTCTGTCCTGGCTGCAAAATTGGCCTTTGTAATATTCTTCCAGGTATACAAATATTATTTACAATGGTTCTAATATTAATGTCTAAAAGTAAAAAGTGTTCCCTGATCTCCAAGTCTTTCTTTTTCAAATCTAACACCAATGCAACCAACTGATATGTGGCTTTCTTTAATCGCATATGTGCACTGTAATGATTTGTTATTTACTCATTCTTCACCATTGTTTTGTCTTTTTTGCCTGCACATGCATGATGTTATAAATATATATCTGTATATATATTTGTTTGGGATGCGCCAAACAAACATGTCCTCTCCTGATAGTGTGATACTGAGTTGTATACATCCCCTCAGATTATCTGCTTGTACAGATTGAAGAAGATACTTTATTTTTCCCAAATCTAAATTGTTGGAATTCTTTTTATGTAAGCTAACATAAAGCCAGGGATTTCAATGGTGCTCGTCTGGAGCCCGCTGTGACTGAATTAGTGTATCTGAACAGCTGAAGATCAATCATTAATGTCCCTCGAATACCAGGCGATGGAGCCATTAATTGATGTAGATGGCAGATGGTTAGGACCACTGACCTTCTTTTGCGGTTATTAAAACCTATAAATATGCACCCTTTGATGTGTAAGCTAATATAATCTAAAAACGCCACATGTCTTTTCCCCTGCAGAACTTTGCAATGTTCCTCAGCATGTTGGTGGCCTGGATGATCCCAGACGTGCCGCGATCTCTGCGGGAACAGCTGAAGAAAGAGAACATGATGCTGATGGAGTTTCTGCTGAATCAAGACCAAGGAGCACGTGCCAAATCTCACTCCCCCGAACACTCAATCTCCTGCTATCCCACCATAGAAATGGTGGTGGAGGAACCAATGGGAGAACTACAAGAGCCGCAAGTGGAGGAGGACGAGGAAGAAGAAAGGGTTGAAAACAATCTGGATGAACTCAGAAGTAACAGTGACAGTGATCTAGAGGTTAGGAGGTCTTCCGAAGAAGTTGAAGAGAAGGGAAAGGAGGAGCAAGGAGAGGAAGGAGAAGATAAAGGTGTAATAGAAGAGGTAGAAGAGAAAGAAAAAGAGGAAGAGGATGAAAAGGGGGATACTGAGCAAGAGGTAGGAGAAGAAACAGTCGAAGGAGAAGAAAACAAAGAGGAAGAAGTGGAAGTAGAAGAAAACAAAGGGGACGAAGTGGAAGTAGAAGAAAACAAAGGGGACGAAAAGGGAGTTACGGAGACGGAGGTTCATTATGAGGAATTTACTGTGGATCTGGACGCCTTCATGAGTCAGCTGGGTCTGTTAGGTAAGAGGAGAACACGTGCTGTGTTGGTGGTCTTGCTGTTTTGGGCTTTTGAGCTTCATTTAGCAATACATGTCTTATCATTTGTCATCCTTTCTGTAAAGTAATGTTGTCCTGTTTATAATACATTTCTGTATTTCTCGTCCTTTACTTTAGATGATGAGCCCTTCCCAAGCACAGCCAGAGAGACAGAGCTCCCCCATTCAGAGTCCAAACAGGAACACCAGAAGGAACAGATGCCTCCTTCACATCCATCGTCTAAAAGAGGCTCATCCCTGAGTCTGAGTGGCTCCAGGGAAGAACTGACGCCATCAGATATTGACACGAGGCCGTTGTCCTTAATTGCTCCTCCTCCCAAAGAGCAAGTCTCAAGGGCCAAGTCCAAGACCCTGCCTTCTCGTCAAAGAGAGTCGGAGGCTTGTTACAGCCTGCCGCGGCCCAGCCACTCCACCAGCCTCACCAGGCTCCAGCAGGCGGCCACAAGTATTCCCCTGGTCCCACTGGGCTCTTCATTACCAGCCTCAAGCAACCAATTGTCTCCCCCCCACAGACCTGTGTCACCATCATCACCTCCTCACCCTGCGGAGTCTCTAGCGGCCCAGCAGCCCCAAGCCCCCATTGAACTATTCGCGCTGAAAGCCCCCCCCCCTCAGCAGCCACGCTCCAGGGGCAAAGCCCGGTGCTCCACTCTGCCTCCCCGACAGAGAGCCCCCGGTCCTGAGGAGAGCTCCATCAAGCCTAGCCAGTCCACCAGCTTTACAAACCTGGGGGACCGCATCCCCCCCTCCCCCAGTGAACTGAAGCACAACTCACCAGTATGAGAGAGCTGGAAGGGAAAAGGACAGAGGGGGTCAGAGGGAGGGGGAGGACTATCCAGATTAGCCCCTCTGTGACTGGAGCCTCACCCCTCCGTCTGTCCTCTCTCTCTACCCACATAATACCTGGGGTCTGAAGAGTAACCACCTAGAAACACTGAGCGTGCTTTTATCCTCTTAATCTTAATGTTTTCACCACTCAGAGGTTTAGGGCTGACACTGACAAAGGGAGTGCTGGACAATTCAGAGGAAGCGGCTCTGAAACTCTCCCTCCCGTGCCAGAAAACATTACCACTGGAACTTTGACTCTTTCTATTCCTGCTGACTTTTTTTGGAGTTTGTTTTTTTGTTGGTTTATTTTCACAGCTAAATAGCCACTGCTCCTCAACCATTTTCTGTCCCACACATGCAGCAGTGCTGCCTTGTAGACCAGAGGAAGATGGAAATATATACAGCACCGCTAGTCTCAACACTTATGCCGTCAGATACCGTTTATTTCTAGAGGTTTTGATATATAAAAAAAATGTGATTTATAATAAATGAAGGTTTTTCATATCTGTTTTTTTGTTTGTTAACACACAAGGTTATAAGATTTTTTTATATTGCATTCAGTCTTGGCAACTTAGACACAAAGGCTTTTATTTCTGACATCAAATGGGAAAATTGGAAGTATTTTATTTCTCAAAGTTAATTTGAACAAATTACCCATATTCAGCTTATAAGAAGAATACAAAAATTAAGAAGAATAAAGAAACATCAAACAAAAATCAGAGAAAATAACAAAGGCATTAACCCAGCACTCACGACACATTCCCAAAATGTCGCTAATGAATCCTAATCGGGAGAAGAGGGCAGCGTCAACAACACTGAAAGGCTTTGTTGCTGCTGCCCCCCTGTGGTGTGTGCTGAAACACTGAGAAATGATTTGGTGTCTTTCTTTGGTGTCCTGTCTTTAGATATCGAAGCTCAGTGATGTTTGCTTTTATATCATTCTCAAACCTGACAATACCAAAGTTCTCAGGCAAAAGAAGAAAAACACCTTTAAATTGTAATTACTTGCTGAAAATGTTGCCTAACAAAAACTTAAAAGGGTAAACGTTGTTATTGTAACCAAGGTTTCGTGAGTTTTTATGATATTTTCGTCCCTGACAGCTGTGCTATTTTTGCAGAGTGAAGTTTCACTCTTTCTGTTTGTGTACGAAAGATCCTTTTTCTCCTCTATCCATAACCTGCACTGGCTCCTCCTCCCCTCCCCATCACTGAATGGGGCTTTTGTGGGGGCTTCCCTGCATTCCAAGGGAATTCTTGCAGGTGAGGGTACACAAACTATCCCACTCTTTAACCACTGCGCGTCACATTTATGTCTGAAAATACTAAAATGCTCTGTCAGGGCTGTCCAGCGCTGAGCTAACCTCACTTTAGAGGACCGGTTGCAACTTCAAGGGTGTGATCACAGCAGAGAGAGTGGGAGGGGAGGATCACTTTGTTTCTATCCAGGTGAGACAACGTATGCATTCGGAAAAACAACAACATGCCTACTGCAGCCTGATGCCTCACACAATGAGCTGCATCGTACAGATTAGGGAAAGCATTAGCTGAAAAGTTAATTTGCCTTATTTTGAAACTTTTGAGGCCGTTTTTGAAGAAAATTGCCACAAAAGCTGAAATAGTGAACGTATAGGATCTAGGGCTTTTATCTGGAGTGGATTAGTGAAGTACATGAACTGTGTGAGTAACAGGCTATACACACACACAGAGGTCCCTGAACATCTCAGTGGGAAGGTGAGTGTGTCTGTGTGTTTCAATGTGCATATATAAATGTATTTATTTTGTTAACAAAGGGACTGAATATGCAGTACGTTTGTTGGACTGTGTCCACCTTCTGCCTCAGCTTCCCTCTCTTCAGTTGGTACTGGTCAAAACGAAACAGCCAGCAGGTATGTACTTGTTTTCACATTGAGGTTAAAGAATAAACTAATGTGAGCTATACTGTATCCCAGTGAGTAAATCATGGCATTACAGGAAATATTTATAGTTATTAATGACTGATTATACATTTCTGGAAGTAGTTTTCCAACAGATTAAATATCAAGTTTGTATCTTCTCTGTTATGGGCAGAGTCCACAAGAGGACAAAAGGGCTTCACTTCTCTAATCTTTTGCTGCTCCGCCTGACAGAGACAAGTCTAATCTCATTTTGAAATGTATTACACATAAAGCACAATTACTTTACTTGATTGTGTAAAGTATCAAATGTAATTTATGTAACAATAGTGAACTCATGTTCTGTCCTTGAATCAAGTAAACTCACTCACTCACTTTTATGTTGAAGAATGTGATTTCAGAAACTGAACATGAAACCAAATGGTCATCAATAGTGTAACATTTGTTGTTGTTTTGTGTTTTTCTTGGGTGTATTATGTGTTCCCTAGCAGCATGTTGCATACAGTCAGTGAGTGGCTGTGGTGGGAGCGTATGTGGCTGCCAGAAAAAGTCTCCTGGTCGGATCTGGAGGACAGTGAAGGTCGTGTTTACGCTAAAGCCTCTCAGCTCTACGCTGCTCTGCCCTGCGCCCTCTGCCTGCTCCTCGTCAGATTCCTGTTTGAGAGGTGAGCAGATGCCATTGTCTGCTTTTGAAATATATGGATTACGTTGCACAAGTTTGGAGGCCTGTTTTGCGTAAGACAATGTGTTGCACTATACTCACACACCTTTACAGTAATGCAGGTACCTGGCCACACCGCTGGCTGATCTTTGGGGAGTCAGGGACCATGTTGGTTTCACAGCAGAGACAAACCCTGTCCGGGAGAAGCACTTCTGCAGCCAAGCACGGGTTCTTTCACAGGTCTGTTAACAATCAACAATTTAGTTACATTATTCAATGTTATTTACCTAATTGACTCTCTGTCGCATTTCAAACTTTATGCTGATTAAAGATGCAACAATCACAACCACTGCCTTTTTTCAGAGTCTGATTGTTTAAATCATATTAAACTGAAAATCTTTGGCATTTCGAAAAAAATAAGAAATGTTTAAGACGTCATTTTGGACTTTCAAGAAACTTGGATGGACATATTTCCCTATATTCTGACACTTTATAGATTAATCAATTAATATTTAAATTAATCGGCAGATCTTGGCATGATCTTTCTTGTGTTTCAGGCTGACTTGAGGTCTCTTTGTAAGAAGACCAGCTGGCCAGAAAGGAAAGTTCAAGTTTGGTTCAAGAGGAGGAACCAGGAGCGCCCAGGTGTGTGTGTGTGTGTGTGTGTGTGTGTGTGTGTGTGTGTGTGTGTGTGTGTGTGTGTGTGTGTGTGTGTGTGTGTGTAAAATGTTGTGTTTGTTTCCCGGGGAAAACACTCACGAGAAACACCGGCTGTTGTTATGCCTGCTGTGAGGTCAAGTTACTCCGTTCTCCGCTTGTAATTATGCCGAAGCTTCAAAGCTGTATTTATCATCTGAATTTGCCGAAACAAGTTTAATATTCTTAAAGCCAAGACTTTGTTTAATTGAAATCAGATGAAAACAAACTGTAACGGACCCTGCCGTGTTATTTATGATTACTCTACGCTTACATTCATAATGTCAGCCGGAGGGAGGGGGGGCGGCGCTGCGGAAGAGATTGCCTGTCATCTTCCCTTTACAAGCTTAAAGAATGTATTTATCGTGTGAGTTTGGAAATAAAAGTTTCATATTCTGAAAGCCAAGACTTTGTTTATTTAAATGTTTTTTAAAAACATCCGAAATAAAAAACCTTTTTTTTATTTTTAAAAAACTTTTTTATTGGCTCATGCTAGGCCCCTGATCTCCGTAGGCCCCTGATCTCCATAGGCCCCTGGGCTTCAGCCCAGGTCAGCCCGTGCATTAAGGCGGCCCCGCCTACACCGGGTTATATTTTTGGACGTTCTGCCTCTGCCTCCTTGCTTGGTCTGGGCCGCTCAACGGTCAGCTTCACAATTGGTGTCAGAAGTGAGATTTGACCAAGTGAGGAGGTGAAAATGAAGAGGGACCAAAGAGAGGAACCGCGGCTGGGGGTGGCTATGCCTGGAACTGACCAGGGGGCCACGGCTGCTGAAGCAGCAGGAGATGACACACAAGCAGCAGGAGACGAGACACAAGCAGCAGGAGACGCGACACAAGCAGCAGGAGACGCGAGACAAGCAGGAGGAGACGGGCAGGAGTAGCGGCGTTTGCGGGCCGAGGAGGCGGACCCGGACACACGGGGAGTCGACAGGGCCTGGGTCGTGCTGGAGGCAGACCAGCGCCTTGCAACCGGCCAGGATGGCTTCCGGATAAGTGGCAGCACGACATGTTTGACAACGGCGTCACTGGCTTCAGCGGCCCCGCTGGAGGTGGCGGCGTTGAAAGCGGGTGGCTGACTGGTTTTTCCCCGAAGCCGAGACTTTTAGGACGCTGTGCTTCCTGGGGAGAGGGGTAGGGAAATGTGACACTGTGAACTGACGGCTTCGGGCATTTTTATACAATTTATACTATTTATTGATGTAGTGTTTATTGTATTTTATTTTGAAATGTGTTCCCCTTTCCCTATGTCTGTTGACGTTGATTGTGTGCACCTGGTGCCCTGTGTTGTCTCCTCCCCCCTCACCTGTGTCTTGTTGTGCTGATTAGAGTGTGTGTATTTAGGCTCTGTTTCCCTGTCTGTTGAGAGGCTGGCTGTGTGTGTGTGTGTGTGTGTGTGTGTGTGTGTGTGGTGCTTGCTCTCTATGATGTAAGTAGCTGTGGCTTGTTAGCATGTTTATACACTGTTTCTATTTCAGGATTTGTAAGTTAATTCTTTCTTTAAACACATTTTTGGCTTTACTGCTGTGAGGTCAAGTGTCTCTTATTTCGCTGTGCTGTGTGTTTTTCTCTTCTCATCTTATGTCTCAGGGTTTTTCACACACTGGCAGTGCACATGGCACACAGATCATCCCGTAGACTCCGCTCAATCTCTGTTTTTGTTTTTGTAGAAACCTTGGCTTTTTAACCTGAAAGAGGTTTGGGCAGGCTTTCCTAAACAGGTAAATATCTGCTATATCTATCAGATGGTACAATATTACAGTATGTAGTATAATTAACATCTTTATGCGTCTGGTATGTGTCCATGCTCCCATCTCAGTACTATTATTACCTCTTGGAAATGGGCTTCTATCTTTCTCTGCTTCTTAGCCTAACATTTGATGTGAAACGGAAGGTGAGTGTGTTGATGTATAACATCAACAAGTTCTCACATATTTATTTTAACACAAAACCTGTATTATCCTTTTTTGTCATTAAGATGGATTAATTGTAGATTTGACCTGTAGTGTGTATGTGTGTAGGACTTTAAAGAGCAGGTGACTCATCACATAGCCACACTGACTCTTCTGAGTTTCTCCTGGATTTCAAACTACATCCGGATAAGAACTCTTGTGATGGCCTGTCATGACTCCGCTGACATACTGCTAGAGGTGAGTGATGGTTTTTACATCAGTGCATGTTGCAAGTTAAAGGATGTGATACCATACTGTCGAGCAGGGGTGGGGAACCTTTTTCCTCTCAAGGGCCATTTAAATTTTTTCAACATCCTCCAAGGGCCGTACAAATTATTCACCTCTGCTTAAAAATACTAAAATCACAGCCCATTCATTTGGCCTTTCTTTCATGCTGTACAATGAAAAAGCAACCTCTTAATCCAGATATCTTACCATGACTCGCCTATGCATGCACGTGCACGGTGTGGCATGACCACCAAAACAGAAAGACATGGACACAAGATGTGTGCAAATGTATTTAGTTTCCTATCCATCTGAACATGATTTAAGTGGGGGGGACCTAACCTCCCCTAGGGGGGTCCGGGGGCATGTTCCGCCGGGAAGATTTTTTTTAAATATTGACGTTAAAAGCATAAATCTGGTGCACTTTGAGAGCAACACTAGGAGATCTATGGATACATCTCTCAACACCCATATGAAACAGAACTGGAAGCAGATTTTCTTTCACTTCATAGACATGATTATCGTGACCGCCTGGCTGCTCTACAGAAGAGATTGTGAAGGCACAGGCATGAGCAGGAAGGAACAAAAGAGGCTGTATACCTTCAAATCATACATTGCTGAAGGTCTGCAAAAGAGTGGAAAGAGTTTGGAACGCAAGAGAGGTCGTCCCAGTCTCACAATTGCTGGTGAGTATGAGGAGAAGAAAAGGACCAGCAACTCCAATTCCAGTTTATAATTGATATAATATCAGGGACCCCTAAGCTCCTAAAATACATGGTGAAACATTTGTTTCCTCCCAAAATAAAAAGTCATGCCATAGAGGGTTAATATAATTGCTATCGGGATGTTAAGAGCATTCCATGGAATATAACAAAAAGTGTATCTCGAGCCGGTTTCTCAAACTTACCTATCCCACCTTTAAGTATTATTTATCTTGACCGCCGTTATTAGCATACAAAATAAATGTGCATTGAATGAGAATTATTACATGAATACAACTAAATATCAATAACAATCATGAATCAGTGACTTTATGGTTGTGAACTGTTCCCTTTAAACAAAGCAGTGACACTGATTGTTTTTCGCAGGGTGCCAAGGTGTCTAACTATGCAAAGTGGCAACGGACTGCTAACACCATGTTTGTGGTGTTCACAGCTCTCTTTACGCTGACAAGACTTGTCATTTTTCCTTTTTGGTAAGTTTTTTAAATGGAGTGATTCTGTATGGAGATCTTGGTCAAATATGTTACAACATATTGTGTATGTTTTGTACAGGCTGATCCACTGTACATGGGTGTACCCACTGGAGGAGTTTGCTCCCTTCTTCGGCTATTACTTCTTCAATGTGATGTTATTGGTTCTTCAGATACTCCACCTTTACTGGGCTGTTCTCATATTGCGAATGCTTCTTAAGTTAATATTCATTAAGGTGTGTTTACAGGTGTTGCTGTTTATATTTATATATGTAAAGGAAATAAATGAAAACGCTGCACATTTCTCAAATGTCTCTCAAGAGTCTTGGGATTGCCCTTATTTAAATGTTTCTCTGTGGCACATTTCTGTCCTGCAGCTGGAAGGTGACGATCGGAGTGATGAGGAGGATGACAGTGATTCACCAAAGGAAAGAAACAACAAATTGAGTCACATTAATGGCTCTGGAACCAGAGGCCGGGGGGCAAATGGTCACTGACACATTTACTGACAAAAGGAGATGGACAAAAAGGGAAATGAACAGCAGAAGACTTATTCAGTGTGCAGCAGCTGGAATCTAATGGCACTTCAGAAAGGAGTAAATACACTTAAGCAGAAATAATTATATGCACAGGAACTGTGAAGGATTGTAGTCAAACGAAATAATTTGAAGCTTTGTTTTTTCTGGAGTTTGCTGAATTCATAATAACTATTAATCTTGTTGTACTCATTATTAAAAATAGAGGAATACTCTTTAAAATGTTGTGTTTTTTATGTTGTTGAATTTTTTTTATGGGTATACAAAAATTACGCGTGTTTTATATGCTTCCACGTGTGTTTATATGCTTCCACGTGTGTTTGGTGATGCACATTAATGCAAAGACGAAGCTCTACGGAAAATGTTTTACAACTGTGAGTTACTGAAGAGTGTTAAAAACTGTACATGTGACAGCATGGACATGCCTTGCGTGGGAGGCAGAATGAGCTAAGACTGAGAGGTTTAACTGACTGGATCATGGAAGTACAAAGACAACTCTGGATAGCTGCCTGCAATACCAGCACGCCCTCTCGCGACAATCAGCGAGAACTGACTGAAGGTTCGTCAGTTCATCGCTATCAGTTGCCATAGAAACATCCACACAAACTATGCTTGAGCTCAGTTAAAACACGAAAACGTAGATTCACGTTTTATATCAACAGTACACAAAAAGTGCTCTGACTATTACTGATACAATGGCTCAGTATCGCACAAGTGTGAAAATCGGAAACTGGAACGAGGAACTGCGCTTAGAAGAGGTTTGTTATATTATAATGTTCATAACTTTAAACTATAGCTAGAATAGCTACCTAGCAACACACCAGTTGGAGTGAAGTCATTCATCTAAGCTAACATGTGTGCCTGCGTCAACATGTAAACGCAAGCTTACAATTTGTTTGTACGCTAAATGCTACATCTCTTGGATAATGACTGCAAACGGATTTAAAATGGCAATTCAGTATTCTTATTAAGCTACCCATTTCAGTTTTTAAAAAGCAGGTTATCCACTTGGACAACTTACTCAACAAACAACAAAAGCAGGTATAATAAGGCTGGATAATCAACCGAAAACAATGTTTGCTTTCTTTGGCAATTGAAAAACAATATTTAACTAGAAGAAAAATGATTAATTGTATTGGTAAAATTACAAATTCCTGTTTACTGATACTGTATGATTCACATGGGAAGTAATATACTTTAGAAGCCATTCAGTAACAAAGACATGACCAAGGGGGGAAAACAGCATTTTATCAAATAGCGAATGTAAGATGAAGATAGTAATACATCTTATTCTACATTATTTATATGTGGGGAAAAAAATGCACTTATAGTGTATAACCTGCAGTAGTGGACACATTCAATAATTAAGAATTAACACTCTATATATGTTGATTTGTTTTCAAGGATACAAAGAGAGAGCACCTGGAGAAAAAAGAGAGGGGTGAGCTTGCTGCCCAGAAAGTAGACTTCCTAAAACAGCACATTTTGAGCCCGGTAAAAAGAGTTTAAGCTATTAGAACATCTTTAATAACAACAATAATATCACAGTGATGATGTGGATGGAAATGATGCTGTTTTTGTATTTGTGAAGGTGGATCTCACTGTGACAACCGATGGAAGATTGCACTTTGGGGATGTTGTGATGTTGGTCAACATGGGAGGAGAAGAGAGGGACTGCAGTGCATTGAGCATTAATGCAGATGTTAACAGTTTTAATAAGATTCCTACACCTAGCATTATATCCCCGTGTGGAGTTGTCGCAGGAAGAGGTATTCAGGCCTGCCCGCGCACTGCCTTCATCATTACCAGGTATACACATTAACACATCAACTTACATAACAGATAAAACATTCCCAGATGTTAACCTGTAACTCTGCTTATGTGACCACTAGTGTAGATGGCAGTCCTGAAGGGTCGACTCTTCATTTTGATCAAAGCTTTGCCCTGAAAACAACAAGTGGCTTTGCCAGGGGAGTAAGTGAAAACACACACATATATATATATATGATTATATAATTAAGATCTTAAAACAAAGACTGTCTGTTGTAGAGGTGCACCCCACTGTTTCTTCACATGGAGTTGAGTTTGTATGCCGTGAGAACAGTTGTGTAATATCCTCTGTGGTCCTGAGGGGAGCCTTATAAGGTTAAGAAAGTAACCGGATTATGACCCTTCTTTTTGGGCTTGGAAGCTATTTTTTTAAGATGTAGTTTAGAGACAATGTATTTTCTAAGTGCTCATTTACTTTCAGTGAAACAAAACGTGATTCCTTCACATGTTGTTTTTTTAAACACAACATGTTTTTCACTTTACATTTTGCAGTACACGTCTCATCTTTAAATTGTCACTTTGTGTGTTCAAATATTTTCTCAGCTTTACTTGACAAGTGACCTGCAAAGTTTTCAAAAGGTAGATCACGTTTTAACGTTATTCATTTATTGACTACATTTTCTCTGGTTATTTTTCATATATTTTATTGTGACTTTATTTAAAGTGTGCAAAGAAGTCCCGGCTACAAGAAGTTAACTTGGAAGACGGCAGCTCCTTTCTGTCATGGTGGAAGATAGTTCACTTTGACCCCCAAGAGAGGCTTGAATATGAGGGTCAGCCTGTTCCTGTAAGTCTTAACCAAATCTTCATGCTGAACTAACCTGTCACAACATCAGACTGTTATTGTCTGTTCAATCTGTAAATAAACTGTTAGTGTAATGTTGCTCAACCTCTGTTGCACTGAGAATTTCCAATAAATCATCCACTGGCTTTTCTTTTTTCCAGGCTAATATGAGTGTGCTGATCATACACTGCAAGACAAACCAGGCTCTCGCTGTGCTGGGTGGTCACGTCATTTGGTATTTTCCATTTCCCCTTTAAAAGTCACCATATGTTGCTGTGTTAAAGGCAATGCTTTTGATTTGATGTCTGATGCGAGGTACACAGGTTTGGCACAAATAATGGCCTTTAACAAAAAGACAAATATCAGACGAAGAAAACTGCAATGTGGATGTAGGTCAGCTAACTATAAAGCTAAAAGCTTGACAAGGCGCTATTAAAAAAAATATAAGGTTACAGTGATCTGAAAAACCTCTCTCTGATCTCTATAATCTTAGTCAACTCCAAGGCAATCTCTCAAGGTGGCAGTAATCATTAAATAGAGACTTACACAATGTTGCTAATTTATGATTACTGGCTAAGATTCTTTGATTGATAGTTTTTCACTAAAACGTATATTCACTATGAAAAGATGTGTATCTATCTATCTGTCTGTCTGTCTGTCTGTCTATCTGTCTGTCTGTCTGTCTGTCTGTCTGTCTGTCTGTCTGTCTATCTGTTTATTTCTAAACATAATGCAAGGTAAAGTCAATACAGTATGTTTTAGTGCCATTTGAAGATTTTTTTTAAGCATGTTTGATGAATATTGAAATAATATTGTGAATCACAATTGTTTCAGCTAGAATAATCGTGACATGACATTTTCATTTTGTCCCATTCCTGATGTAAATGTACTTTTGTTGAAACGACAGCCTCAAACTCATCAAAGCCACTCAAAAGTCATGTTACAATGCCTGCATGCCGGGTGTCGTCCTGTAGGTAACAGTTGTCCCTTTCTGTAGGAACACGTATGGCAAAGAGTATGAGATGACGGCTCACACATTCCTAGACTCCCACAAAGCAGAGCAGGACAACAACCGCTGGACACTGTGCAACTCTGACCCAGCAGGGGAGGGCCTCGTCCTCCTCACCCACCCACAGCTAGGGGCCCCCAACAAGGTGCTCACACAGGCAGACCCTGGCATCTAACACAACCCACTCATCGACTTCACTTTTACATTTTCAAATAAAGGTTGTTTTCACTTCTGTTTGAGTTGCTGACCTTTTTTCTCTCAAGCAAAGTCATTTTGGGATGGACTCTGTGATTATATGATACACTTTAGCCAGCCAACCACCAGGAGGCTTTGTAGCAAGAGGCATTTGATACGTTTCCTCAAACAGCACTATCATTGTTTTAGTTGGGCGATAGCATAAGAAACCCACCGTGATATCGGACAGTTGGATGACTCAGGCCAATTTCCCATGCATTTGAAAATGTCCCTGAAATACATGATATAAGAGATATTGATAGGGGGTGAAGTAGGGTTCTTTCATGGAAGAAGCAGTGCATTTTAGGAAAAGGGGAGCTAAAAGGTCAATTATCATATCCCTGCAGCCCTTTTTTTTACAGGGCAAACAAAGGGAAAGGATGAAGAATTTATCTGCTTTTGCTGCAGTTATTCTCATGTAAATAATGAAATGCTTTGATCACAAAAGTAAAACAGGGATGAAACACAAATATAGATTCCTGATTGTCCTTCCATTGCTGTCTTGCACCTTTCCCCCAGGATTGTTAAGTACAAGGTTAAAAGTAATCTTAGGGTTTAGACATGTGGCCTTTCACAGGTAAACTATAAAAACTACTGTAGGCACCTTCCTCTATAGATAACATGCCTAGATACAGATAATAGATAACCATCATTGCCTCTTGTCCAGGGTGCGTTCAAGTACATACGTTTTAGCAACACTAATTTGCAACGTTTCACGACGATTTCAAAAATATTGTGTGACCTTTACACTTTTGACGAGGGCGTCATCAACAATGATTTAAAGGGGACGTCGTAGCCGCTAACAACCATTTGAGACGGCACATCAAACGGGCTCTTATCATTTGAAACGATTGGCTTCTTCTTCTTTTTTTACAACAATGCGCTGAACGCGTCGGTGTCATGTTTCAGATGGAGACAATACTAAAGTGAGCAGCTACACGTGCAGCAGATGAGCGTGAGAGAGGACGCAGGCTCCACACAAAGGTAACGTTACGGTTCACCATTTGATGTATGGAGGTTATAAAAACGAATCATTGTTTCATTAAAATAGACAACATTCAGCTTATCTAGCCACTGTTGTGTTCTTATTATAATTATCATTATTCATGTTTGTAATCGTAATTATCTGTTAACGCGTGTGTGGTCGGCAGATTTCAGTATGCAGTTGCGTTTTTATTTCTGCCTGAATATGTTTATAATAAGCGCATTTATCTGAGCCGGTTTACAAATTATACAATTAATATTCAATATATTGATACAATGTTAAGGTTTGTTTCAAATAAAGATGTCTCGTTCTGTTGAATTATACGATATACCTCTCCGTGGCGTATGGCCTGTCCTCAAATAGCTAATGTCATATTATACCGTTATTTTATAAAAGCAAAAGCCATTTAACCTCCTACACATATGATTTATTATTCTGTAAAACACCCATGTATGATGGTTCTTAGAAATCAAATCAAATCAAGTTTTATTTATATAGCACATTGATAAACGATTTTTGGTCAAGCCAAAGTGCTGTAGCCTACATATAATAAAAATAGCCTACAGTAGAGACACTTTACAGCAAATACAACAGCACAGATTCAGAATATCAGTATGAGAAAAACGACACCCTCTATCCTTAGACCCTCACATCGTACAAGGAAAAACTTCCAGATAAAACCCACAGTTTAAGGGGGGGGGGAGATGGGAGAAACCTCAGGGAGAGCAACAAAGGAGGGATCCCTCTCCCAGGACGGACAGACGTGCAATAGATGCCGTGTGTAAATCGAAGAGATAATACATTTTACAGCATATAGACCGAATGTTAGGAAATGCATGTGTCTGTAATAAGAAGATGAATCCACGAGGATGTCAGCTACAATCCTGTGGAAGCCATCAGGGAAGCAGCATGACGAGACCCAAGGCAGGACCGCAGAGACAGGTTCAGCCACGACCCGAAGTCCACGACTTAATCCAGAACTCAGGATAGAGGATCCAAGACACAGGACTACAGCAAGAGGATCAGCCTCGACTCCGGATCCCGGCGTAGATATAGATACAAAACAAGAAAAAAGATGTGGCTGGGTTAATCGGAACAAGAGAATACACAGACACAGACAGAGAGGTCATTGGATAAAAGTTATTCTTGATAACCCTACAGTGCTTCTCAAGGTGTGGTCCGCGGACCACTGGTGGTCCGTGAGCGCCCCCTAGTGGTCCGTGAGTATATTGGTAACATTTCACATTTGAAATACATAAATAAATTTAAGTTTTCCGCACTCTCGCGGGAATATCTCAGCAATGGAGTGAGCTTAAGTTTCACTTTCGATTGCATGATATAGCCCAGATAAACACCGTCATCACACATGTTGCCACTTGTTTGTACCATTTTCAGGCGATTTGTAAAAAACGATGTGTTTTTGGATATTTGTGGAGTTAGGTGGTCCGCGAGTGTTTTTTTATTGGTTAAGTGGTCCTTGGTATGCAAAAGTTTGAGAAACACTGCTCTAGAAAGATCTCATGAACTTCCCCACTCAATCTATCAAGACCCGAGCAGTTCTATTAGATATAGGATAAGAAACAGAGATAGGGAGCACAACAACCTATCTCTTCATGCACTCCCCCGCTTATCTAAGCGACTCTACCCAGATAATAAAGATAATATCAGATAAGGCTTAGTCATGGTCAATGGTTGCTTTAGGTCGATCTTTGTGTTGTCCTTTATAGATGGATCTGAACGTTTCCATTTATAACACTGTGCTACCAGAGAACATTTAAAGACCATTGCATTACTGACTGACTACACTCCTTTGCTTATGTAACGAAAAGTGAGGGCTACGATGTGAGTGAAATAACCAATTATTTTGTATCCATAGTTAAGTGCTCAACTATACTTTCTGCCAAGGTTATTTACCTAGTAACTGGTAAAAATGTGTAAACTTATACCTAGTTGACACAGTAAGCTGAAAAGGCTGTAGTGCTTTTCAAGATATCATAATACACAATTATGTTGTGTATTATTTTACAAGAGTATCATTAATAGCACTTGCATTCCTTAACGAATACATAGCTTTTTATTTGTCCTTTTTAATTCACACATGAGTTTACAAACTTATGCTTTACCACGTTTTCTTTATTATTATTTATCAGAAAACATGACACATCATGATATATACTGTTAACAAGATATGATTGCAAAACATGCATTGTTTTAAAAATGATTTCTACATTCATTGTGCCCTTTATTATTTTAACCAGTATAAGCAATATGGGTTTTATATGTTGTACTGTATGTCAGTTGAATTGATGCCCGTTGCTTTGTTTAACCAGACAATCATGGCAGTGAATGTTCCTGGACTGGCGGCCGTGGTGGTTTTTTACATCGTCATCCTGGTTATTGGGATCTGGGCATCTCGAAAGTCCAAGAAAGTGGAGAAAACATGTGCTGGCACAAAAAGCGAGGTTGCCATTGTTGGTGACCGCAACATCAGTGTCCTGGTCGGGGTTTTCACCATGACAGGTAAAACCTTTGTTTATATGCCTGTCATTTCATATTTCTTGATGTACTTATTGTGTGTGCTATGTTTCTACCTTGACAAATGATTTTCTTTTCTTTAGCAACATGGGTTGGTGGAGGTTACGTCTTGGGAACTGCTGAGGCTGTTTATTCTCCGTCTCAAGGTCTCATCTGGGCCATGGGGCCTCCTGCATATCTTACCAATTTTGTTTTGGGTAAATTCCCTCAACCAACAATAACACACAGCAGGGACAAAATGTTGGAGCAATTGTACACTAAAACAAGAGTATTATATTGTTTATAAACATTTAGGGCTGGCTGCCCTTGAATAAAGAAATACTTAGTCCACTAACACTCAGACGATTTTGTCGACGAATGGATTAGTTCATGTAATTTAGAACTGAGTTTCTCCATTTCAAATCATGCAAATTCACCCCTTAATGTTGTGTTTGCCAGAGACGTGCCCATAAATCTTGGGAACAAGTCATTTAGCAAGAGAATGCAGCCCTAAGATTATCTGACATTTAACAAGGTTTTCTTCTTGTTTTGGGGAAATAGAAGATACCTGGGTTTGTTTTTTCATCCCCACAAGATGTGGTTCTTGAGTGTGCTTTTTAGTTGGTGTGAAGGTTTGTGGGTCATAGTTTTTGATGATATTCTTCAACAGGAGTAAAGTCAAGAAGACACTTAGAGTAATACAAATTACGTCTCGAAATTAATGTGATTTGCACATGCTCAAAATACACCTGCTGGTAAAACATTAGTGGCAGTTACATGTATGTATACAAAGCTGAACTTATACCCAAAACTTATAAGGCAAGGCAAGTTTATTTATATAGCACCTTTCAACACAAGGCAATTCAAAGTGCTTTACAAAAAACGAAAGACATTAAGAAAATGGCATTTCAAATCAGTCATTAAAAAGAAAAGATAATAAAATAAACATTAAAAGAAAAAATACATGGATAAAGGTTACAGTGCAGTTTAAGATGTGAATAGTTCAATTAAAAGCAGCGGCAAAAAGAAAAGTCTTTAGTCTGGATTTAAAAGTAGTCAGAGTTGCAGCGGACCTGCAGGTTTCTGGGAGTTTGTTCCAGATATTTGGAGCATAATAACTGAACGCTGCTTTACCATGTTTAGTTCTGACTCTGGGGACAGAAAGCTGACCAGTCCCTGAAGACCTGAGAGATCTGGATGGTTCATAATTTAGCAGGAGGTCAGAAATGTATTTTGGGCCTAAACCATTCAGTGCTTTATAAACCAGCAGCAGTATTTTGAAATATATTCTTTGACACACAGGAAGCCAGTGTAAAGACTTCAGAACAGGAGTGATGTGATCCACTTTCTTAGTGTTAGTGAGGACTCGAGCAGCGGCGTTCTGAATCAGCTGCAGCTTCCTAATAGATTTTTTAGTGAGACCTGCAAAGACACCATTACAGTAGTCCAGTCTACTGAAGATAAAAGCATGGACACGTTTTTCCAAATCCTGCTGTGACATTAGTCTTTTAATCCTAGATATATTCTTTAGGTGATAGTAGGCTGATTTAGTAACTGTTTTAATGTGACTGTTGAAACTCAGGTCAGAGTCCATGACTACACCTACATTTCTGGCTCTATCTGTTGTTTTGAACATTGCAGACTGAAGCTCAGCGCTAACTTTTATACGTTCTGACTTGGCTCTAAAAACCATTACCTCAGTTTTATCTTTGTTTAATTGGAGAAAGTTCTGACACATCCAGTCATACTCACATTTGAGCATGAACTGTTTTTTTGGCAGCTTTTTCTCAAAGAAGGACTTAAATAATGTATTAATTATCTAAATTATTTCTTATGTTTCTCCATTGTTTGTGTTAAAACCTAATTTATTATAAACTCAGCTCCACTTTAATTCATTATATATATTTATAATGACAACACACTTCAAGTTATGTTTCACTTCAACAGTTGTTTTGTCTGTTTACTCTTTGCTTCTTAAGGAGGATTGTTTTTTGCAAAACCTATGAGGTCAAAGCGCTACGTGACGATGTTAGACCCGTTTCAGCATCGCTATGGAAACATGCTCACTGCAACACTCCTGCTTCCTGCTTTGATGAGTGATATTTTGTGGGTTGCCTGCATTCTCGCTGCTCTGGGTAAGAAACGCATTGTACAAAACCAAGGCTATGACTCTGCCAAACTCTGTGACATTGCATGTTGTGTTTGTGTCTCTGAATACTGTCTTGTGTTATTTATAGGAGGAACGATGAGCGTCATTCTTGGTCTGTCATCTGCCCTCTCGATCATTATCTCTGCAGGTGTCTCCATCACCTACACATTTCTAGGGGGATTCTACTCTGTGGCATATACTGACATCATCCAGCTGTCCTTCATCTTTGTCAGCCTGGTGAGAAATACAGAGGTTGCCGTAAAGTAGGGAGTGACAGATATGACTGAAAATAGAGAAAAAGGAGGCAACAGGAGTAATGGCACTTAAACAAGACAGATAACTGCATACAGTAGATAATCAAGTATGACACAAAGCGCAAGTAATTCAATAGATGACCTGTCCTGATTTTTGCAATAACAGCTGTTTTCTTCTGTTTCAGTGGCTCTGTATTCCTTTTTTGTTACTTAGTCCTGCAGTTGCTGACGTCTCACATACAATCAACCTGAACCAAACCATTGGAACCTCCTGGGTCGGAGAGTTGAAGTTGGAGGATGCAGGAAAATGGGCGGATGAGATGCTGTTATTGGTTAGATTCTAAATTAATTTTGTTTCACTGTTTATGTAGTGGATTAAGGAGATTAAAATAAAAACATCCTTAGAATTATCACTGCACACATGCAACCACTGAATATACTGCATCTCTAGTTCAGACTTCCCTTGCATCCATGACTTGAACTTGAATCATTGAAGTTATTCAGTCAAGGAAACATTTCTAGTTTAAAGTCACCATAATATGTGTTTTTTGTTACGCGAGATTCTCTAATGTCTTTGTTTCTGCAGCTGATTATGTACAGCTCTGGGGCCTCATTTATAAATGGTGCGTACGCACAAAAGATAGAAAAAAAATAGAATGTTACCTCTCATTTATCATATATGAAGAATTAATTTTCACAAATTGATTAAAGCCAATCTTAAAATGATTTAACAAACGCCTGTTTGAGACTCCTCAGTGCTCACAAAAACATAATTTGGAGAAATAAAAAAATACGGAAATGTTATTGATCACCCCTCGATTATGTTCTCTTGTTAAGAAATGTATTCTCATAAATGACTAAGGACTAATAAACAGAAGGACAGAATTACTTAAAACTTACGCCGTTTTGCATTTCTATAGGTTGTATAGATACGAGCATGGTTTTATCATGTTTAATCATATTGTATGCAGTTCGCCAATAGCCTACTTGATAAGTCGCTCGTAAAACACAGGAGGTATGGAAAGAACACCATATGTGGTAAATTGTACAGCTAATATAACACAACACATTAGTTGTATTTCCTTTAACTGGTGGATTATGGATAGTTGCTGATCGACAGCTGGAACACAAACCACCAAATACAAAAAAATAATTCAGATCCAGTCGTCATGACTCCACTCCGGAGGGATTCCCCGATCATTTCTTACAGTTTTTCATCAAGGGGGGGTCTCCTGTCCCCGGTACAAACACACTGCCTGAGGAAGGTTATGTGTATTTTTTTTGTCATTAACCTTTTTGGGACCACTTATTTATTTATTTTGGTGACGATCCGACCTCCATGCTGGTACTCTGGTTCAAACTGCATCCACCAAACAATATGATTGATCTCGAGCTCCCCAAAATGACCAAAATCTGACACAGTGTTGTTGTGGAAATATTTTCCAAGGCCCATAACTTTGACCCAGTGTATCAGTTCAAACTGTCCTGACTGAGCACAGGCACCTGTAACCTTGGCTGCTGTGCTCTCAGTGTTTTGTCTCCCTGTTCCTGCCTGTTGGCGTCAGCTGATAGAGGTGTTATCATTCTATCTTGTTATGCAGCATGTTGATGATGCTCTCTGAACTAGCTAAATACATGGGTCTGGGGTAGAGTTCTTCAGAATTGACGTGGCAACTCTACCGTGAAGTCAGAACCTCTGACTCTTGGACTTGTGATATGAATCCTCCGGCCGTTAACTCCAAATAAACCATCATGTGTTTGACATCAAAGCTACTGCTCTTCCCGTGTCTCCTTCCTGAGTCGGTGACTCCCACTGCATAGCTACACAGAAGTTTCCTCTACAAGTGTGAGATGTCTTTTTTAGCTGTTCTGTCGTCATTTCCTGCTATCTTCTTCATAAAGTCAGTCAAAATGAATGAATGAATGGGCGTTTGACTATTTATAGGCAAATATAGGCGTTACGTGAAGCCCGCAAAAGCTGCACCGCATTTCGAGTCGATTGTGATTTATAAAGGGAAACCGCCGTACGCAAGTCCTGTGCCGGTGTCAGTACCAGATATGTTCGGGCTACCAGATGTGTTCGGGTGTATTTCCGTCGCATCCGTCTTCCGTCATATCCGTCATATACTCACCTCCCTCTGCTCCCAGCGCTCTGCTGCCACACACCGGCCGTCTGCGGAACTGCAGCCAGAGGAACTCGGGACAGCCTGTTATGTGTGGGGTGCTATGGTGGGGTCCCATGTACTTGTGCACATAAATAATGTTTCTAATTATTTACAATTTAAAAAAAAATATATATATTCTGCGTTACTTTAGCCAACACTTTTATAAGGCCACTAGATTAGATAATTACGAAATGTGTAGATAGAATACATATATTTCAGGTTGTTATTTTGTTATTATGTTTAATGTTTTATTTACCTTTTAGTATTTGTATATAGTATCTGAACTTTCGGAGAGGAGTTGGGAGACACACGACACATCAAATCACATCTACAGATCAAGGCGAAGCGAATGGAAGTACTCAATACTCCTAGCGTGAAAATGTTTGTGAAAACGTGTGCAAAGTCTCCGAAAATCCTAAAAATAAGCTCATATTTGAATTCCCCATAAAAAAACACATCATTCAGTAAAAACAAGGCCCCACTGATCATCTACTCTCTGAGACGATTCCAGGGATGTCTGGCTTGAGTTTCGACCACCAGGGAAAGTGGACAAAAGTGCCCGAGATCAGCCTCTTAATTTACCCAGGGCCTAGTGCTTGGCTTTGGGCATGAAAATTCAGGAAACTCCCCTGAGTATTTTATTAAATATCTGAACTTTGGAGAGGAGTTGGGGGACACACGACACATCAAATCACATCTACAGATCAAGACGAAGCTAGTGGAAGTACTCCTAGCGTGTGAAAATGTTTGTGAAAAACGTGTGCAAAGTCTCCGAAAACGGAGCAGTGGCTGTGAAGCTAGCTTTGCGGCTAGCGGTTAGTTGTTATTGTTTGAAGTTGTTGCTATGGAAACAACATGACGGAGAAAAAATTAATATCTTCTATATAATAACGGAAAAGTAAAGAATGAAGTGTAGGCTATGCCTGTTTGAAGTTGTTGCTAAGGAAACAACATGACGGAGAAAAAGTATAATCTTCTACATATAATAACGGACAAAGTAAATAATGAAGTGTCGGCTATGTTTAAATGTTCGGAATTTGACCGTGATGGCCCTCTTGAGTTGCCGTAAAATATGACGAATATGACGGATGACGGATGCGACGGAAATACACCCGAACATATCTGGTAGCCCGAACATATCTGGTACTGACACCGGTACGCAGTCTTTTATGAATCGGAAAGTGTCGGTGTGTATTTATTTGCTTTGTCCTACGTAAGCAACCTTCCCACGCCAATCCTACGCAAGGCTTTATAAATGAGGTCCCTGGTCAGGTACAAAGTCACCTGGAAATTGTTGTAATTAAAAGACCTGTTATAGACAATGTGTATTTCTTATAGGAGGTTAAGCACATGTGCACTAAAACTACTGTAGTGGCATTCCAAAAAGTCCATGAGGTGCAGCTTTGTCTGCAAACGTAGCTTACAAGCACTCTTAGCTGGGTAGCACAAAAAACACTACAACAACTAGGCTAGGTGAAATGATAGTCTACCTTGGCTGTTTTTACCTTAATTTATTGCTTTCATATTTACAACGTTTTATGCATTCAGGTAACATCATCGTTGTTACCACCCCCAGCATGCCACATGCCTGACTACATTTCATTTCCTGTATAAATGCAGTCCCATTACATGTGACTGCCACCCAGTGTACACAAAAGTGCATTACACCAAATAAACAGGCAAAAGAAAAGAATAGTTGGCTCTGCAGTACCTCACACTCTGGCCCATTTTTGTTGATGGCAGGCAGACACAAAAGTTCCAAACAATGCAAACAAAGAGCCATCGAACACATAGTATTCTCAGTCTTAGTTCACTGTTGTTATATGAATCCCTGCAGTGAGCCTGTACTGTAGACTTCCAATCTAGAAGAACATAATCATCTGTCTGTCTGGTGCTTGTGTTGCCGAGTTGTTCTCTGATTAAACTTGTGTTTTTTGCGCATCTGTGTGTGTTTTAGGCTTTAGGCGGACTGGCCTATCAAGCTCTATACCAGAGGATCCTCTCCGCAGCCTCCTCTGCTCAGGCTCAGGTCACCTGCTTCGCTGCTGCTGGATCTGTTTTTATTATGGGAATCCCCTCAGTTATCATTGGAGCAGTGGCTTCGACTGCAGGTACACATGAATGTGCTCACTCAGCTGTGCACACAGAGCACACACGCCAATCATTCATAATAAATCTAACAGTAAGGTTGCATGTGTGTGTAAAGAAATTCCTGGTTATTCTCAGCATATTAAACTAATTATAGTAGGACATTAGCTTGCTTTCAATTATTTTGCTTCCTTCTGCCCAATGCTTTTTTTCACCATAATCTTAAAAGCTTCTTCCCCTCCCATTATTCTTTTCCTCTCGACCCTGACTGTCTCTTTCTCTACCTCCTCTATCTGCTCCCCTTCTTTCTCTCTTTTTCTCTAAGACTGGAACCAGACAGCGTATGGTCTACCCCCTCCTTTTGAGCGAGGGGAAGCGGGGAAGATCCTGCCTCTGGCCCTGCAGCACCTCACCCCCACCTGGTTGTCAGTGTTGGGCATTGGCTCTGTGGCCGCAGCAGTTATGTCCTCAATGGACTCTGTGCTGCTGTCCTCAGCATCCATGTTTACACAAAACATATACAAGATGACTTTGAGGAAGCAGGTGTGTGTGTGAGTTTGTGTGTGTTTGTGCGTGTGTGCATGGTTCAGCATCAATACAATTGAACGAACTCCATTTGGTTTTCGTCCCTTTCTCCTGTGTTATTGCAGGCCTCGGAGCGGGAGTTGCAGTGGGTGATCCGTATCAGCGTGCTGGTGGTTGGCCTGGCAGGAACAGGCCTGGCCTTTGGTGATGACAGCGTGTTCGGCCTCTGGCTGGTAAGCGGTGACCTCCTCTACTGCGTCCTCTTCCCGCAGCTCATCTGCGTGCTGCACTGCGGCTTTGCCAACAGTTACGGAGCCTTCAGCGGCTTCACAATGGGACTGCTGCTGCGTGCTCTGAGCGGGGAACCGCTGCTGGGGATCCCCGCTGTCATCCTGTACCCCGGCTGGAGGGAGGTGGACGGTGTCATCATACAGTACTTTCCCTTCAGGACTCTCGCCATGCTTGCCTCCTTGACAGGTGTTATTGCAGTTTCCTGGCTGGTGCAGTTAGGCTTTTATCACAAACTAATTCCTCAGTCCTGGGATTTACTGGGGGCGTTTGAAGAGAAAACAAAGGGACAGGAGGAGGAAGTACCTGTTCCTTTGGAGGAAAAGAACAACATCCTTAATACAAAATTATAGTGTTAGTACAATCTCAGCCAAAGGATACCTAAACCTTTTTTTATGCAAAATTCCTACCAACATTCTTCTCTGCACAGACTATTTCCGCACAATCTTACATGTATTGTACACTTCACCTTTAATACTGATGTAAATGCTTTATATTCACCAAGTTCTGAACAGCATTATGTGGAGAGTATTTCAAAGGGGCAGTTTATACACTCTAAAAACAAATGCCTTGGCTCAACAAAGAAAATCAACGCAACAGTTTGCATCGATCTTTATTGAGTTAAGACAACTTCTAATGAAATTGTCTTAAAGCAACAAAGTTATTTGAGTTAGGGGAGAAGGCTTTTCCTCTACAATCAGAGGTGTTTTTAATTACCACTTACTTAATAATTGGTCGCATAAAGACAAGTTTTGAAAAAGATGAAGTTGTTCCAACTAGTTTTACCACATGATTTAAAAGGAATTGTAAGTTGTATGTACTTAATTACCCTCATTCGGGATACAAGTTTTTAAGTTGATTACTCCAAAAATTAAGTTGCTCCAACTTGTTTTACCGTATGATTTAAAAGGAATTTTAAGTTGTATGTACTTAATTACCATCATTGTGAACACACGTTTTTAAGTTGACAACCATTTATAAATTAAGTTGCTCCAAATATATTGTATTCAATAGTTGTTTTTTTAGCTTTTTCATGTTTTTGCCTTTAAAGAAAGAAATTAATTGATTCCACAACAAAACTATTAGGCAATTCACTTTTTATTTTGAACTGCAGTTGTTTATTTCAACACATGATGTTTCAATCAGGAGAGAATTCATTTTGTTTGAACATTTATTGACACATGCCATATGATAAGGTGCATGAACACCTGAAATCACAGCTGACTGCAGGAGAGAGGAGAACCATTTTATAGTTTGGCTGCAGCACGGTGATTGGCTGCTGGAGAATGAGGTGAAATTTAATAGGTTAAAGAGAACGCCTGTGATGAGCTGGTTATATGCAGCTGCGGAGTGAATGTATATACACCCAGTCTTCCTGAAAGAACTTGCGCTGAGCTTCATTTCAATCTTGAAAAAAAAGATAAATAACACAAATTTAAATTGCCCCACAAATAATAAATAAACACATAAGCCATATTACCATGGGAAATGGGGACACAGCAAATAAATGCTGCCATCACAACAAAGTTAGAGGCCTTTGCATATTTAAAACCAGTGCTAAATATGTAAAATCTGTAAAGTTTTTGTAAAACTACAGAAACAAACTCTCAATGGCCACCAATCTGCAGATCACACACATCAATTTTACTAAAGATGTTTACACTGCCAACAGTCATTATTTCAAACAGTATGAACACATTTAACGCAGAATGCTTGCTCATTCATTTGTTTCCCTCGACCACGATGGTTGCCATCGTATGGTCAGATCCTGGGGTGGACCGGTCACTGATGAAGGCGATATTCATGTACTTTTGAAGCACATTAAATAATAGGTTAGCGCATAAGAGATAATGAATTAGGTAACTGCATACTTTTTAAACTGTCACTCTTAGCTAATTCAGAGCCATTATTACCAGCTGCTAAAGCAACGCTGGTATTGTTTTCACCTATTGAGTCTGCATGTGTGTGTCGTCATGGCAATGTGGTCCTGAAGACACACAGAGGTGCTTTTGAGTACTTTGCCTAGTGTTTAAATGCATGTGGACAGATGTAGTCAATCACAACCATGCAAGTTTTAGTGTATCTTCTCATCTTTTTAGCAGGTTCCATACAATATGTGAACTGGTTGAGTGAAGAGCAGAAGCCACTTTTCAAATTGTACACAATCCTTTTCCCATGCCATTGCTGTCAACACCTATCTATGCTGAACGTTGCTAAGATATTAATAATTGGGGTGTGGCCAAAAGTGCAATATGCTTCAAAATGTAACTGACAGAGCAGTGCTTTTGTCCTGTGTCCACTGTGCCCATGGATTTTATTTTATTTCAAGATTTTTAATTACTTCGCTAAACTCCTTGAAAAGGTCCTCTTCCTTTTCTCCAAGGTACACCACAAGGCAGCGGATGGCTATAGTTCTCTGCGTACTTCAATTGTATTGTGCTATTTTTGAAAAAGGAAAAAAAGAGAAATGACCTAAATGAATATATTCTGAATGGGTGACTGCCAACAACTTGCATTTCAATGACAACTCTAAATAACGATCCTACCTCAAGAAGCATGTCCTTGATCTGCTTCACCGAGATTAATTTTTAATAAAAAGCGATATCACAATAGTAACCAAAGTATTTTTACTCTCACAGTAGCCTCTAATACTTTGTATCCTCTCACAGAACTATTCACAGTTCAAAGGCTGCTAATTTTGGTCAAACAGCAATTTGCCTATACAGTGCAACTACAAGCCTTACCTTAAAATGTCCTTTGTATATTTATATTTGTCTTAACTGTCGGAACTTGTCCAGGCATGTTAAGTGGGAGTGGACTTGATATCCTTAACTCAAGGTGTAGAACAATTAAGTTATCAAGCCAATTGCATTACTTACTACAACTTTTGTTTTAAGTCAATTAACGCAGAAATCAGAGTTCAAATTACACACAATATTAAGTTGATGTAATTACCAACATTATTACGTCAACACAACTTATAAATTAGTGTTTGCAACTTAAAATGTTTATCTAAATCAATTAACTCACATTTTTATCTTGCAACCATGCATTTAATTAAGTGGAGGTGAAAGGTCGCCTGAATTCGTTTTTAGAGTGTACGTGCTGGCTGTTTGTTTTTGACTGAACAGCTTTAAGGCTACATCCGCAGACCTCAAGATTCTGATGTTAATTTCAGAAGTCAAACTTTTCCACATTGTCCCAAAAAATAGCATTTTCCCTTGTTTGTTTATCACTAGTAACACAAACATTTTTGTACTTTTTTAATGTAGACCCTTCCACTCAAACATTTTCAGTCAATTAATCTCAACGCAGACAGTGTTATTTAAATTGTAATTAATTGTACTTTTTAATGAGTTTTTTCTATTTGCATTCATTAAGCACTGACGGGCAATGCAATATCATTGGTGATGCAATACTTGAGGTGTGTTCCTCAGAAACAAAAAAGTCCACCAGTATGTGCCTGCTGGTAAAAGTGTTTACAATGATATCATGTTTTTCAAGAGATTAACATTGAACTACTAACAAATTACATAAATAGAAGTGATATTTTTCAGATGTTTTTGTTGATGGCAGGTGTTCATAACAAAACCACCTCTGTTTCATTATCTTTGAATCTGATGTATTTTTAATGTGCATTTGTGTGTAAACGTAAGAACAAACAAACATAAGCTTATTGTTATCTTAATCACAGGGTCGTGTCAAGTGCCACAACTTTTGCATTTGTGTTTTCCTATAACATTAAATTACACCCCCCTGAAAGAAGTTGCCTGTTTTTGAAGCACTGATTTTACTTTTGGTTTCAGTATCATTTGACAATAAATGAAAAGTGCAATGTCACCTTTGCGTCAGCAGAGGGCGCTCACTAAACACTAAATGGACCTTACCACACTGAATGGCACGGGATGGTGTTTCCAAAGAACTGCCTTTAACAGGGAATAGGAATACAATATAGATTAACAAAAAGCCAGCAGTCACTCAGGTCCATTTTAACTTGGAGGAGATGTGTATTTAGTTTCTCACACTCCCCCACGTTCTCGCTTAATCTGAAAACAAATCTCAAGTATTTCAAAAAACACTTGTTTCATGAGTTTATAAAGCAAATGTATAATCTAATCCAACATAAAATCATTAGTAATTTTTTAAGATTAAAACATTCTCAAGTAGCTTTTATTCTCTCCTTTCACCATCTACTCCCGTCTTGTACTTACCAATTCTCAGTATATTTATTTAGTTTTAATTAATATGAACTTTATCGAAAGGCCATGGTTAGAATTAGTCATTCATTTGAATTGCTGAATTTTTCTTCTGAGTATGATGCAATTATAAAACCGCTTTAATTTCCTCTTTTCGTTTACAATTATCAACACGTAATAAAATGGTAAGGGAAAACCTACACTTTACAAATTCAGGTGCGTTTAAATATATTACAAAAAGGATTTAGCTGTTTACCGAATACAACAAACAGTTATGTGATTTTAAATACTGAACTCCATATTGTCTCTAAATCCACTTTTCATCACAAACCTGCACCCAGGATCAAACAGCCTGAGAAGCGACGCCGTGCTGCCGCATCATGTCTGGGATGAATGGACCCTGAAGGCGGTCCTCTCCTCGAGCTCCATGTCACATTTCACTCTGAACCTATGATGAATTGGAAATGGGGGACCCTGATGTAAACAAGACGAAAGTCTTTCTCTGGTCTGCATCCCCTTAACAATTGTATGTTTTGAGCTGTACTGTACTGTACCCAATATACAAGCTGTTAATAAACTTTTCAATCAATCAATCAATCAATCAATCAAACCCCTCACAGTACAACCTACCTATGGAACAACTCCAATGCACAAAATAAGACTTTCTGCTCCTGAAGGGTTCAACCTAGTCATGTTCACTCCAGTCAAGAGGTCCTCTAATCAGAAGAAATTAATATGTAATCTTTATAAGGATAGTACTTGACAAAAGAAAGTATCCTCTATAGATTAAAAACATCAAAAACAGCATTGAATGTAATACTTTAAGAGGGAACCGTTTGTAAAGTTGTCTAAGTTGTAAAAGAGTATGATCTTAATTATAGTTATAGCCATCGGATAGCCATCCGCTGCCTTGTCGTGTACCTTGAAACTATTAATGATCTGGACATGCAGAAGAGGCTAAAATGATCACAACACATTGTCAACATTCATTTTCGATGTCTCTCTCCTTTCCATAACCTGCCCCCTCTCTTCCATCGTCTTTAGTCTCTCTGTATTCTTCCTGTTCATTACTCTCTCTGTCCTCTACTCTTTCTCTTTGTTCAATCTCCTCCTCACTTGTCGCTCCTGCCAGTGAATTAAAAGCAATTCAGCAGTTTAGTTCATTTCACTTGTTTGTTTGCATAATCTTTTTTATTTAAATCTGTTTTGTTTGATTCTCAAAAGAGAACAAAAATGTAAGCAAATTGTGTTTTATACAATTCTATGTTATTATGACATCATAACTGCAATAGATGTATGTTGTTTTACAATTATGCATATTGTAAATGAAGACTATTGTTATAGATAGATAGATAGATGGATAGATAGATGGATAGATAGATAGATGGGGTTATTAAGCCTACATTATTTTGTGTACCTGCAGTTCCTCCCTGACTTCCATCACTTTCTCTCTCTCTCTTTCTCTCTGCCTGTCCTGTCTCTTCCTTACCAACGCTGAGCTTCGACTGACTTGGTATTTTCATTATATCTGAGTCAGTGTAAAAAGAAAACAATACAATGTTATATCTTCAATGTTTTACTCAAATTGAAATGAAAGAAAAGCATTACAACGTTTGTTAAAAGGTAATCCTTCTGACATTGGATGAATGTAATTAACTTTAGCTCTCTAGCTAGTTTATTCACGCAGTTTAAATCAAAGTATAGCCTATGCTGCAATATAAGTTAGTGTGCATGTTGTCGGACGTCCACTGACT